CCTATTTGCCAATATTTTATTGAGGATTTTTGCATCTGTGTTCATTAGGGAGATCGGTCTATAGTTCTCTTTTTTAGTTGGGTCTTTCTCAGGTTTTGGTACTAGAGTAATATTTGCTTCCAGGAACGACTTAGGAAGGATTGCTTCCCTTTCAATTTCATTGAATAGTTTGAGAAGTGTCGGCATTAGGTTTTCTTTGTATTTCTTGTAGAATTCTGCAGTGAATCCATCTGGGCCTGGGCTCTTCTTGGTGGGTAAGGACTTAATTACATTTTCAATTTCAGTAACAGAGATTGGGTTATTCAACAGTTTTACATCCTCTTGATCTAGCTTTGGCACTTCATATGCTTCTAAGAATCTGTCTATTCCTTCTGTGTTATCAAACTTTTGAGAGTAGAGGTTTTCGAAATAGGTGTTGATGATCTTCTGTATTTCTATTGGGTCTGTAGTGATTTCTCCTTTTTCATTTCTTATTGCATGAATTTGAGCTTTTTCTTCCCTTTTTTTAATAAGGTTGGCTAGGGGCTTATCGATTTTATTTATTCTTTCAAAGAACCAACTCTTTGATTTGTTGATTCTTTGGATTGTTTTCTTAGTCTCTATTGCATTGATTTCTGCTCTGATTTTTATAATTTCCTCTCTTCTTTTGGCTTTGGGCTTGACTTGCTCTTCTTTTTCTAGCTGTTTGAGGTGTAGCATCAAGTTATTTATTTGTATTCGTTCTGTTTTCCTGATGTGGGAACTCAGTGCAATAAATTTTCCTCTCAGGACGGCTTTCATTGCATCCCACAGGTTCCGGTAAGTTGTATCTGTATTTTCATTTTCTTTTAGGTATTGTTTGATTTCTTCTTTAATTTCTTCTGTGACCCACTGATTACTCAAGAGTGTGTTATTCAGTTTCCATGTGTTTGTGGGATTTTTGCAGTATCTTTTATCATTAATTTCTAATTTCAGAGCGCTATGATCCGATAACATGCAAGGGATGATTTCAGCTCTTTTGCACTTGTTTAAATATGTTCTGTGAGCTAATATATGGTCTATTTTAGAAAATGATCCATGTACTGCTGAGAAGAATGTGTATTCTGATGTTGTTGGGTGGAACATCCTGTATATGTCTATCAAACCCATTTGTTCACAGGTATGATTCAGTTCTGTTATTTCTTTGCTCATTTTCTGTCTGGTTGATCTGTCCCTTGGTGTCAATGGCGTATTAAGGTCTCCTGTTACAATTGTGTTACTGATAATTTGAGTTTTCATTTCTGTTAATAATTGTTTTATATAACTTGGTGCTCTGGAGTTTGGTGCATATATATTTAAGATAGTTATCTCTTCCTCTTGGAGTTTTCCCCTTACAAGTATGTAGTGACCTTCTTTGTCCTTTATGGTCATTGTTGGTTTAAAGTTCACGTTGTCTGCAAACAGAATGGCTACTCCTGCCTTTTTCTGGATTCCTGTTGCATGAAGAATTGTTTTCCATCCTTTGACTTTCAGTCTGTGAGTATCCTTCTGGGTTAGATGGGTTTCCTGTAAACAGCATATGGTTGGATTTTGTTTCTTGATCCATTCTGCTAGTCTGTTTCTTTTGATTGGTGCATTGAGACCATTTACATTAATGGTTATTACTGTTAAATGCTGGTTAATTGTAGGAATGTTATCTCTCTGCTGTTGCATCTTTATCTTTCTGTTCTGTTTAATTATTTGCTTTGCTTAGTGGTTTTTTCCTTTGTGTATCTAAACTGTCTTTCAATATTTTTTGCAGGGTCGGTTTGGTGTTCATGAAGTTCTTCAGCTGTTCTTTGTCATGGAAGTATCGTATTGCACCATCTATTTTGAATGATAGTTTTGCAGGATATATCAGTCTTGGTTGGAAATCATTTTGCTTTAGGATCTGGAATATTTCACTCCATGCTCTTCTTGACTTTATCGTTTGTGCTGAGAAGTCTGCTGTGATTCTGATAGGTTTTCCTTTATAAGTGATCTGTCTTTTCTCTCTGACAGCTTTTAGTAATCTATTCTTGTGTTGGATTTCTGGGATGGTGATTATTATATGTCTGGGTGTAGTTTTATTTTGGTTATGAGTGTTTGGAGTTCTATATGCTTCACTGATCTTGATGTCAGTTTCTGATCTCATGCTTGGGAAATTTTCAGCTATTACTTCTCTAAATATCCTCTTGACATCCTTTATGTTGTCTCCCTCTCTTTCATTAATCCCTATCATTCTTATGTTATTCTTCTTTGCATCGTCTTGCAGTTGTTGAATTGTTGTTTCCTGATTCCTTGTTATTTTCAAAAGATCTTTCCTTTCCTGTTCACTAGCTGCAATCATGTCTTCAAGGTCTGAAATTCTATCTTCACTTTCATTAAGGCGGTTTTTACAACTTTCAGTGGAGTTTTTTATTTCCTGTATATCTCTGTGCATCTGCATTATGTATTCTGTTTGTTTCTTATATTGCTCGTCTAGGGATTCTTTTTGTTTAGTTCCTCCAATTTTTTATCTGTGTTTTCTTTAGATATATTTAGAATCTCTTTCATTTCTTTTATCATTTCTTCTTTTATCTGGGAGATTATTTCGAGTTTGAATTTCTTTAAAGCTTCCTGGAGTTGTTTGTCAACTTCAGTAGCTATTATGTCCGATATATGAGGTGGATGGGATATATTTTCTTCTATATACATTGCTCCTAGGGTTTCCTGAGATGGGCTGGAGGTTTGAGGTTGTAATTTGGTCTTTCGTTTTGTCATTTTGTATATTTCTGTGTTTCAAGTGTTATTTGAAAGCTTCCTCAGGATCTGTTGAAAATCCCCTTCTATGCTTGGAGCTACTGAGACTCTGACACCACACTACCCCAAGCCATTGGGCCTGCAGAACCAGTGTCCCTCCTCTGCCTGCTCAGAACTCCACAGTTCCAGACAAGCTGGGCCTCAGGGACACTGTGCGCCCACCTGCCCCTTGGAAGATCCACAGCTCTTCAATTGCAGCCGGGTTAGGGTGCTCTCCACAGGCCGCAGTGCCTCAGGAGCCTGTGATCCCTCCCTGCTTACAGAGATATCCACAGTCCTCTAGGCAAAGGAAGGGACTCAGCAGACTTCCAAGTGTAGCCGGGGGGGATGGGGGGCAGCTGTAGTGGCCTCTAACCCACTGCTCCACTTCACTGCACCCAGAAGCCTGGGGGGTCCGGAACAGTCTGAGATTTGGGCAGACTGTGCTGGGCACTCACCACAGGCTGAGGTGCCTCAGGAAGCTGCGATGCCTCCCTGCTTGCAGAAGTATTCAGTCCTTCAGACAAAGGAACGGGCTTCTGCAGGCACTCCGGATCCGCCCAGCTCCTCCTCTGCCGAAGATGTCTGCCCGCCTGCCCGCCAGGCACAGGCGGAAACAACCCGCCCCGGGGGGAAGGGCGACCCCGCTTCCTCTCGCTTCGCCGCCGTGGAGACCCCAGAGCCGTTCCACGCCGCAAGCCTGTGTTCCATTTTCATAATGGTGACAGCTTCCTTGCAGATTTTTCCTGTACATTAAATCTGTATCATTATGTGTAAGGACCATAATCCTATAGTTACCTTAAAAATAGATAGGGCCTTTATAGTGAGAAATGAATATAAAAACTACCTGTGCACCCTGATAGCCTTACAGTTGTACTATATTTCCCTTGGGGGTGCTTTGTGACAACCTCTTCCTTTTTCCTGCTACTATTTACTTTAGATTTTGCAAATAGTCATGGGATGGTTCAATGTGTTCGCAGTACAAAATCATTTTCTATGATGATCATTTGATTCAAAAATGTGATCCCCACTTTGGAAATCAGGCAGGTTAGAAGGCAAAATCTCCAGACGAAGCTTGCTGAAAGATACTTTGGTTGCTTCTCAGTTTGCTCTTCCTTTGTCAGAAGCCCAGTTAGAAAGCATTATCTGACTTCATTTATACAACCATCTTGGATAGAGAGCAAGGGTTTCAGGCAAGCAGAGATGTATACTACCTTCCACCTCTAATACACCTCTCCTTGGTATTCCACACAAGCTTCTCAAGTCTAGACAATATTCAGTTATTTTGTAGGTAACCAAAGAGTTTGAAACTAGATCCAACAGAATGGCTATAAATATCTTAAATTACCTGTGCCCTTGGAAATTATTAATTTATATCTTTCCTCTTTCAAACAGAAAACTTAAGATATGTTCAATAGAAACTAAATGCAGTAAAATGGTTCACCTACAAACAATTCGAAAATTGTGAAAAGAGGAAGTAAATACACTAGCCAGGATGGATAATGAAATTACCATGAGATATTATAGAATTATGTCCTGACACAATCTAAAGATCCATAATAAATGGATGATTAAATATATTATGGAATAGACACACGATAGAAGATTATGTAGCCAGGGAAAAATGCTTACAGTGAAATATTAAGAGAATGATTTTAAAACTATAAAATTTAGTTATATGTACAAAAAACTCAGGAAAAATATTGGAAGAAAATTCACTAGCACATTAACTGTGGTTGGTGAGATAAGTGACTTTTGATTTTAAGCTTTATATTTCTGTCTTTTATTCGGGCAGTTGTATACTTTTATAATCATATGTAAACATTATTTTTTCAATTGAACTTCCCAACAGAAAACAATCATGACTTGCATGATTCTTCTTGTAGATCTCTAAATTTTCCTTGCTACTGAATTCTGAAAGAGGTTTATTGAGTAATGAGTAGAGAGAGAGAGCATATAATGTATAAATTTTGTAAAGTTCTCAGAGCACTTACAGAAGGGACTGCCTGTGACTATTTTATGACCTCTCCCAAGAGAAACAGAGACCACAGCCAAGGGAAAACTTGTTGAGTGCTTCTTTTGCCTTTTTTATATTATCCAAATAAACGGTGTGAGAAGAGCCTTATGGATGCAGAAAACAGCTCTCAGACCTTTGTTTCACACCTTGAGTATTGAATTACCAGTCCTGGAAAACTGTCTTTTAAAAATGAGTATAATTTGGTTTCTCCCAAATCTCTTTGCAGGCGTTGCTGCCCTGGATTCCAATGTATCTGGAAAAATTGGTCTGCGGGCTGTGGTGTATTATTTCTGTACCACCATCATTGCTGTTATTCTAGGTAACATTTATTTCTGAATCATTTTCTTCTATATAATTGTGACTTTTCACTGAAAAACTTTCTTAAATGTACATTTTAAATCAGAAAGTAACACTGTCAAACTACCTAGACCTTGTGGTCTTGAAGTCTTCATAGCACCTTCTATATAAATAAAACACAATCCTGAATGAATCTTAGCCCTGGTCTGTTTATCAAAGCCTCTTCTAAGAAGCAGAAATGAAGTGACAGTTCTGTGCCTCATCAGCATCATTAGACAGAAGAAAGTGAAGCCAAGAGTTTATATAATCTTAAGCTGGATAATTAGTTGAGTATAATTTTAAAATATTTCCAGAAAGGTAGCAATGCAACATATTTCATGCTTCACACAGTAAGGCCCAACAGTCTTGCTAAGTATAAATCTCACTTTTAAAAGGGAAACAGTTCTAAGCAGGGATTGGCTGTGCATCATTAGCATGAGATTGTGAAGGAAGCTTGCCCATCATTTGTGACCCATCATGACATTTTATTTTTAAAGAGAATAAAACCAAACCAAACCAAACCGAATAAAACTAATCAGGACAGAACAATGAAAGTAATATGGAACTTCAAAACAAAATAATAGGAAATCAACAATGGGTACCATAATGTCTCTCATTTTCTTCAAAATAGCTGTCCATATCATCAGACATAATAAAATCAAACAAAACAAAACAGAACAAAACCAATCAAAACAAAAGAATGAAAGCATAACGGGACTTCAAAGCAAGATAATAGGAAATCAACAATGGCTACTACAATATATTCTTTTATCTGCCCAGGCCATCAGACACAGTAAAATCAAACAGAACAAGACAGAATAAAACCAAACCTAATGAATTTATGAAAACAATATAGGAATTCAAAACAAGATTAAAGGAAATTAATAATGGTTACCACCTTCCCTTTCTATACTCTTGCTCCCCTATCACTTTCATAATAGCTATTGTATATTTTTGATACTACTAATCTGTTCAGTTTTTTATCCTAGAGATAACATAATGTTAACCCATGAGTCTGACCCACTTCACCCATGAGCATTGTCTCAGTTTGCACCCATTTACCTACAAAACCTCAAGATTATCCTTCTTCATAGCTGAGTAGCTTTCCATTGTATGAAAATACCATGTCTTCCTTACCCATTCTGAGGTTGTTGGGCAAGCTACCTCTGCTTTTTTCTGGTTTCCTGTCCCATGGAATATTGTTTTCTCTCCTTTGACTTGGTCTATAAATTTCCTTTTGAGTTAAATATGTTTCTTGTATACAGCATATTGATGAATCTTGTTTCTTGATCTACTCTCCCTGTGTTTCTTTTTATTAGTGAATTGAAGCCATTGACATTAATGGTTACAGCAGGCATGCATTGGCTCATCTTTGCCATGCTATCCTCCTGCTGTTGGCTCTCCACTTTTCCTTTCCCTTCAGTCGCCTACCGTGTTTGGTGATCTCCCTCTGCTGCTCTTCCTGGAACTGTAGTCATCTTTATCTCCCTAGAATATCCTTCAGCACTCTCTGTAGGGTTGGTTTGGTGGTAATAAATTCCTTCAGTTGTTGTTTACCATGGAAGTATCTTATTTTTCCATCAATTTTGAAAGATAGCTTTGCAAGGAATATCATTCTGGGTTGGAAGCTGTTTTGTTTTCAGGATCTGAAACACTTCAAACTCTTTTTGGCTTCATGGTTTGTGTTGACAAGTCTGCTGTGATTCTGATGGATTTTCCTTTTTAGATGATCTGTTTCTATTCTCTAACAACTTTTTTTTCACTTAAAAATTTTTATTTAAAGAAAGAAAAACAAAATAGATAAAGGGAGAAATAATACATAATTTCAAAGAAAAAACACTAAGAAATCACTAGTTGGTAATTACATATTGTCCTCTTACAAATAGTTGTTCAAGTTACGATAGTGAAGCATACAAAGTGGACATTCAAACAGCGAGACTGCAAACAGTTCTTTTCAACTATCCAACAAAAACTTAGTAATATGATTATCAATCTTATACAGTGAAACATACATGCAGTTATCCATATCTTCATTTATGTTGAGATTAAACAAACCATAGCAGGATAAAATTACTCTGAACAAAGAATAATAGTATTGCTGGATTTCACATCATGACACTATGGGATCAGCATTGGGTGCTGTAGCATCTCTTTTCTTCAAAGTAGGTTGTTCATTTCATCATGCGTTATAAGGTCAGTTCTCATAAACTATTTATAGGCTCTACACATGCATGTGTCTCTAGATGTATTTTTATCCTTGCTATATTAGAGGGAGAAACAAAACAAAGCAAGACAAAACAAAACATATTTCTATAAAAACATGAAACGAAAAAGTCATAAAACCACAGTACAAGGTGATCTACAATGGTTACTGCGTTGTCTCTTGTTATCTTCAATAGAATTGTCTATATCATCAGGCATAGTATAATTGAATATAGTAGTACATAACAATATTAATAAAAACAAAACACTGTAGACAATATAAAACTTCAAAAGCAGGTAATAATCAAACCAGAATGGGTATCGAAGTGAATCTTGTCGTCTTCAGCGTAGTTGCCTATACTCTCAGACTTGATACTATCAACCATTACAGTTTTGAATAAAATTTGTCGATACCAAACAGCAATCTAACAAACCAGATTCAACAAAGATCAGTCATGGTAAAACAGTATAAGTTATACAGGGCTTCAGATTAAGTTAATAAGAAATTAAGGATGATTACTGTACTATATCCTGCTGTTTTTGGGATAGGTGTCCGTGCCCTCAGATCTAATGCAACTAGACAAACTGGGACAGAATATAATCTATCAAAACAGAGAGATATGAGTAATGTGGGTTTTAAATCCTGATACACTATTAACAATATTCTCTGCTTTCTTTTTTAGACTATTCCTCCCCTTTCACTCCCACAGGGTGCACTGTGCATTTTTGGGTCCCACTAACTCGTTCAGTTTTAGATTGGGGGCAACCTGCAAACACTTTATGTGACCTGTGTATACACTATTTTGAGTTTGGGTGCCCTGGGAATGCTCATGGCTATGACATCAACATCTACAAAAGCTTCTGCACTTCTTTTTCTCTAGCAAAACCTGTATCCACCTATTTTGTCATACAACATACCAATATTTTCCTCAGTATTTCAATTGCTTTCCAACCAGATCAGATGTATTAATATTTTTTCTTTGGTCTATAATTTTTGTCTTTTTGTTTTGTTTTGTTTTGTCTTTTTGAGATAGGGTCTCACTATGCAGTTCAGGCTGGCCTTGGACTCACTTTGTGGCCCAGGCTAGTCTTGAACTTGCAACGATCCTCCTGCCTCAGTCTCCTAAGTGCTGGAATTATGGACATATGCCACCGTGCCTGGCTTATTATTTTCTTTTGGTTTAGGTGTGAGTTTGTAAATTTTAGAGAGTTGTATAATTCTTCCACTCCAAAATGATGTGTTCATACTTGTATTCAATGCTGTGTCACTCAATGATCTCTATTTTTCATTTAAATATTTTACCATCACAAATTCATCTGGATGTATAGAGGGAGGCAAGAAAAGTTTCTTTAGAACTATTTTTAATTCTCCTACAACATTATTTTCTTATGCTTTTCCCTTAGCCAAACTTTTTGGCTTTTTTTTTTTTAATTTTGAAGGTAGTAAAAACACAACAGAACCAGACAAAACAAAGCCAACTGGGACAGTACAGTGAAATTGGTACAGAACTACCCAGCAGGATACCAGGATAACAGAAATAGGTACCATCGTATATCTCGTTATCATCACAATAGTTGTCCAGTCAAGTAGGTATAGCAAAATCAAATAACATTATAAAACCATTCAGAAGAGAATATTGAATAGAGTAATACAATTAATCGCAATGAAACAAAACAGTGAAAAAAACACCTGCCTTCAAACAGAAGATGGAAGGAAATCCCCCATATTTGCTATATTGCATACGGTCATCTTCTCAGGACAGGCTCAGATCCCTGTGCCCAGTAGCTAAGAGGGGTGGGGGACTGGGACCTTTGATCTCCATCCCTTGCAGGGACGGGGTAGGCTCATGGGAACTACTGACTGGGTCTGCTCCTGACTCGTGCCAGAGGGCGGCGCTTACCAAGAGGGCGGGTAAATTGCCTTCTTCTGCAGCCGCCTGGGTTCCACCCTGGCTGGTTCTTGGCTTTTGTTTAATAAAGTAAATGTTTTCTTTACTTCAAATATAGTGCAAAACTACTTTTAGGTGGCAAAATATTTCTTAAAACCCATTTCCTATTTTTTGGAATACAGATGGTTAATATTTTCCACATTAACTAATATAGTTTGTTTCACTTACGACTTGCTTACTGTCTATTACATCCTGTTAATGCCTCCCTTCAGAGTTTTTTTCAGTTTTTTTTATTTAAGGAGAAAAAGAAAAGAAAAACAGAAAAAAGGTACAAGTTATACAGAATTTCAGAAAAAATAAACAATAGGAAATCACTAGTTAATAGATCACATATTGTTATCTTAGAAATAGTTGTTCAAGATACAAAATTAAAGCATATTAAGTGGACTTTCAAAAAGTGAGACTGGAAACAGTTTTGTTCAATGATCCAACAAAACTCAGTAATATGGTTATCTATCTTATACACTTAAATATATATGCAGTTATATTCTTTAGAGCACTTTCTTTTCTTTTTTACAATGACAATTACACATTTTGGGTTTTATTACTCCCACAGTTCTTATTACTTTTTTTTGAAGAGAGTAAAACCAAATGTGACATAACAGAACAGTCAGTCAAATCAAAAGGATGGACATAATAGATAATGTAAAAACAAAATACAAGGTGATCAACAATGGTTACCATACTGCCTCTTGCTATCTTAAAAAGAATTGCCTATATCATCAGTTATAATAAAATTGAACAAAACAGTAAAGAATAAAACCAAAACATTGGAGACATTATAGGACTTTAAAAGAAGATAATAGTCAACCAGAATGGGTGTCATAATGAATCTTATTGTCTTTACAGTTGTTGCCTATACTTTCAAACTTGGTACTATCAAGCAAAGCAGAATAGAGGAAAATCAGTCAAAGCAAGATGGTAAAGGCTATATAGGGTTTCAAATCAAGTTAATAGGAAATCAAAGTGGGTTACTATAATGTATCCTGCTATTTTTTATTTACTTTTCCCTTAATTAAAAGGATAAAAATGAAAAAGTAAATAAAAAAGGAGATTGAGATAAAAGAGGGCATAACAACAAAACAGCACAGGTCAAAACATAACCATTTAAGCAAAATAGTGTTTCACCACAAGATAATCCCAACATAAAAGTAGTTACCATAGGTCTCTTTCCTTGAAATCTTTGAGTATAACTTCATATACTGTAACATCAAACATATCAAGACAATGTAAAACCATTCAAGAGAATGACAGTATTACAGGGTATTTAGAGTCAACTAACAGAAAATGAACAATGGTTTCTGTATAATCTCCTTGCCTATAAAAATTTTTGTTTATATTATCACATATAATAAAACCAATAAGATACAACGTGTTAAGACCAGTGGAGACAGAAGAACAAAAGCTTGATGGGACTTCAAAAACAAGATGATATTAAATCAGCACTAGCTATTATGATGTCTTGTTTTCTCCAAAATAGCTGTTCCTACCATCCAACCTTCTCTGCCTCATTTCTGTTGAGCTCTTTTTCTGTCATTAGTTATAAGTTTGTCTTCTTCATTTTGCTTTCTGCTCCATTCATTGTGGCCTCTCTGCCACTGTTTCTGGAATCTTGGTATTTTTCTTTTTTAGAATATCCTGCAGTATTCTCTGTAGAGTTGAATTGGTGGTTGCAAATTCCCCTAGTTCCTCTTTTCCTGGAAGCACCTTGTTTTTCCATCAATTTCTAGGGACAGTTGTGCAGGATATATCAATCGTGGCTGGAGGTTATTGTCTTTCAAAGCTTGAATTATTTCCCCCCACACTCTTCGTGATTTGATAGTTTGTGCCGAGAAGTCTGCTGTAATTCTGATGGGTGTTCTCTTGTAAGTGATCTGTTTCTTGTCTCTGATGGCTTTTAGTATTCTGTTCTTATCTTGGATTTCTGGAATTTTGATTATTATATGCCTGGGTGTAGCTCTGTTTGGGTTGTAGGTGGCTGGGGTCCTGTATGCTTCATACATCTGAGTATCTTTACCTTTTGCTAAATTAGGGAAATTCTCTTGGATTATTTCTGTGAATAGCTTTTGTAGCCCATTTGTTTGTGTCTCTACTTCTTCTTTTATGTTCTTAAGTTATGGATCCTCTTATCATCTTCTAGCCTTTGTATTATTGCTGTTTGTTTTCTTGTTATTTTTAAGAAGTTTTTCATTTCATGTTCCCATATTACAAATCTGGCCTCCAATTCAGATAATCTATCCTTAGTTTCTTTCAAGCTGTTATGTCAGCTTTCGATAGAGTTTTTAGTTTCCTGGTAATCTCTTTGAACCTGCTTCACGTATTCTGTTTTCTCTATTTTCTCCATTAAACAATTCTCCCCTTTTCTTCTGTTCTTCCATTCCACCATCTGTTTTTTCTTGGGCGGTGCTTAGCATTTCTCTAACTATTCTACTTATATTTTGCTTTATTTCGTTAAATACTTCATTTTTAAACTCGTCTATGAGGTTCTGGAGATAGTGCTTTATGTCTATTAGTGCCATGTCTGTTATTGCATGTTTTCTGTCTTCCTTTGCATTTCCCTTTCCTGGATCAGTGTTCTCAGGATTGGGGACTGAGGACCCTTTCTTGTTGCTTCCTCTTCTCATACTTTTTGTTTCTTGCATACAAGGGAATGTAAGAGGCCCCTCTTGAACAACTTTTAATATTTTATTCTTGTGCTGAATTTCTGAGGTCTTGATTATTATATGTCTAGGTTTAGATTTATTTTGGTTATGGCTAGTTGAAGTTCTATTTGTGTAGCTGAGGATTTAGGTCAGTGGTGTAAGCACCTGTGTGGTTATGAGTTTGACCCCTAGTACCAAAAATAAATATAAACATACATGCAGATATGTTTTTCATATATGTATGCCAGGTCCTTCCCCCGTGTTTGGAAAATATTCTGTTACTTCTGTAAATAGACTTTTTATGTCACTTGTATTGGCCCCTGCTGACACCTATCATTCTTAAATTATTTTTCTTTGCATTGTCTTGCAGCTATTGAATTGTTATTTCCTAGTTCCCTGTTATTTTTAAGAGATGTTTTCACAATCACTAGCTGCAATTCTTTCTTCAAAGTCTGAAAGTTTATCTTCAGTCTCCTTCAAGTGGTTTTGCAGCTTTCAGTAGAGTTTTTAACTTTCTGGATATCTCTGAATCTGTTTCGTGCTTTGTAATTTCTTCCTATATTGTTCACTCAAGGTTTCCATCATTTTCCTATGCTCCTCTTTATCTGTGTCTTCTTTAAATATGCTCAGCAATTCTTTTATTACATTTGTGATTTCTTCTTTTACCTCAGATATTATTTCTGATTGGATTACTTTTACAGTTTAATGAAGTTGTTTCTTCACTTTTGTCACTATCCTCTTGGGAGATTTCAGGTATGTGTGATTTCATTTTCTTCCATGTCTATATCTCCGAGACTTGTTCTGTGTAGGCTGGAGGTCTGAGATTGCCTTTTGCCCCTTCGTCTTGACATTTTCCTAGGTTCCTCCCAACAAGCTGGTTGAGGGGTCCCAGGCAATTCCCATGTTGGCTGCTCCTCCACAGTGTAGGGGAATGGGCCAGGCACCTGGGTTTCTCTGGACCTAAGTTCCCAGGGAAGTGAGGCATGGAGCAAGATTCTCCAGACCCATGTAGCTACACCGAGACTTTCCTGATGGCCATGGGTGCATGGTGGCAGGGTTGCTGCTTCTGTCAGCTTACATAGCTCCATGGGATTCTCCTGATGGTGGCAGGTGCACAGAGGCATGTTTGTGTGACTCTCCTTGCCTGTGCTGGTTGCTCACAGGAAGGAAGCATCTCCAATGGTCTGCAGATGCATAGGGTATATCTGGCTGTATCACCCTGTCCACACTGGTTACCTGAGGGAAGTAGGCTTCCTGATGGCAGCATATGCACAGGGGCAGGTCTGGCTGTTTCTCTCTGCTCATGCTGTCTGCCTGCAGGAGGCAAGTCTTCCAATGATGGCAGGCATGTAGAGGCAGGTCTGACTGTGTCTCCCTGCCCACACTGGTTATTTGAGGGAAATAAGCATCTAGATAACCATACTGACACTTAAAGGATGATGTCTACAGTGGAAAGAAAGGGAGGAAGTGCACTCAGGTGTGGTAGCCAGCTTAACCTCTGCAGCTCTGCTTTAATGAATGGATAAAAAGTGGTGGATGGGAAGGTTTCAGTGGCATTCAGAAGTTTATCCAGGGAGCTTCAGGGGGCCTGAACTCTGCCCTAAACCAAAGCCACATCACCTCAAAAGGCTCCTGAGGGAGACAAAGAAAAAAAGCAGAGAAAATGTAAGATGGCAGTGTATTATTAGCTGGTGTTATATCTCATCTGTAAGCCTCAGTCAGTCCACCTGTATGACATGTTCTCACATAAGAGCCTTCCAGATATCTGAAGGTGTTACAGCAGGAAAATAAGACAAGACAAAGGTTATGAAAGATATTGAACAAGTTCACTGGGCTGAGAAATGAAATCTCCTCACCCCAATACCTGCCTAGGCTGATTTCATAGGCAGGGTTTCTAAAAGGAACCCTAGGATGGGACCTCCTCATTTGAAAAAAGAAAAACACAGAAAGTTCTTTCTGATTATTCATTTCAATAAAAAATTACTAAGGCAGCTGCTGAGGTTCTGGCAGTGGCTCCACATTTTGGCTGGACCTTGGGGTCCTCCTCACAACAGTATTACCTGGTACCACTCATCCTGCTTGGTGTGAAAAGTGTATACCAGGATTTCAGGGACCCTGGAAGTCCTTATGCTATGTGGATTCTCTTCTTGGTCATAGGTATTGTGCTGGTGGTAACCATCAAGCCTGGTGTCAGCCAGGAAGTAGCTGACATTGACAGGACGGGCAACACCCCTGAAGTCAGCACAGTGGATGCCATGTTAGACCTGATCAGGTGAGAGTCTTGGCTTCCTTGTGTCATCAGTGTAGCTGTACAAGCCATGCATATGGCTTAATGCTCTGCTGTCATGGTCTTAAATTATTGTACATCTCCAATTTGCCCTGTACCTCACAAATTGCATAGCCAGTAATTTCTGCTTACAGATTATGGTTCTAGGAACAGACTTCTCTCTTAGAATTTAGGATGGACAGAGATGCAAAAGTATACTTATTGTACGAAGATACTGGACTGGAGTGGATGGTCAGAAACACCCTTGGAGAAATACATTTTTATGGTGTATCAGGAAGCTCCTTAACTAAAGTAATGAGAAACAGAAACAGGGCAATTTTTTGAAATAGTAGTTAAATCAGAAACGCATAGAAATGTTATAGGATATGCGCTTGGCATAAAATCTGGGAACAAATACAATACAGTGTTGCTAAGCATATTGCTTACTTACCAAAACAGTAATGTGCAGAAGTTAAAGAATTGCCTTTTGCCTGGGAGTATCCTCCTGCCAGTGCAATATCTCATTGAGTTCGGCCAGCCTGTCACTTAGTGAATTGTTACGTGACAGTTGCTGGACAGTTTTCTGGTACTCAGTTTAGGCTGAGGATGAAAGAAATAAGTCTTAATGCAAGGAAGTATTATACAAAGGAGAGGCTAGAAGAGAAAACAGTATTTATTCTATATTATGTTCATTTCCTCCTATGTAGAGTATGAGAAACTTAGTATGAGAAAAATGATCCCACTTTTGGCCCTACCATAATACTGCTTTTCATATCTTCAACAGGAATATGTTCCCTGAGAACCTTGTCCAAGCCTGTTTTCAGCAGGTAATAGTAATGATTTTTGTCCTCAGTTGCTCCCATCTTCCTGTTACCAACTAAGATTTTTTTTTTCTGCTATGGCCCAAGAAATGGAATTAGCCCATCAAAAATGGCAGCAGAAGCACACCTGGGAGGGGTGGAATCTCAGGTGACGCCTCTGTTTTGTACCCATGGTCTTCCCAGTCCACAGTGAAGTGCATGGCATAATTTGCACTGCTCCCTTTTCTAATTTGCCTTTTTCCTTCATAAGTGATCACATGGAGAAAATGAAGAATCTGTCCAACGTGAGTGTTTTAAAATGTGACCTCTAGTACCTAGTTTGGAGAATCATGTTATATTTGTAAAGAAACTTGGACTCTGCAGATGCAATGCAGTGAGAAAAAGAAAAACAGTTCTCCATCTCCTTTCTCCAGCTCATCTCGTGCTGACAGTCCATGTCTAACCCATGTGATGTGCTGGTGTTGCTAGAATTAGATCTTTTCCTTAACCATTTTCTGCCCATTGCTGGCATTCTCAAAGCAGTGTTACAAAGCTGTGGATTTTTCTCCTCCAAAGTTTAGCAATCTCTTTGCTTTATTTACAAGTATTTTTGTTTCTATTTATCTGTGTACTCTGAGACAGCTGAGTCTATCACAAACTGCTGTATTCATTTACATAAATTACATGAACAGAGTCCTCTGTGTACAGCAACAAAAATGGCAATTATATTGTGGCCTGACAACCTCAATGAGGCACAGAATCACCTCTATTTCAGGGGTGCCCTTACAGATCAGCTACAGTTAGTCATTTGTAAGGGTCTCAGTGCTGGCAGAGCCCTGTAGGAGGAACATTTATGCCTGGCATAATAATGTACTAGGTCTTTCTTAAACCTCTGTGTTGAAGCTACACACAACCAAACAGGGATGAAGCAAGAGACTTCAACAGAAATCTCACTCACAAGAATAGCACTGAAAGGAGTGTTGACTTGACCACATCCATTAAACCTTTAGTATTTGTCAAATGTATGAAGACAACTTTTAGCAAAGTGATGTTAGTTTTTTGATATTAAAAATAATCAGTTAAAAATGTGATCATCAGGAATCCCTAGAAGATCTGTCTGTGAAAGTGTCTACAGATAAAACATTTTCTTTCCCACATTTCTTCATTAACTTGTCCCTTATTATGAAAGTGAGAACACATTCTGACTTTATTGAGTGGTGGGGTTATGGGAGTCAGAAATCTGTATTTCTTTTATCCTGTGTTCAGTGCCAAATCCTCATGGGAAGAGTCATCAAAAACTAGACACAAAAGAGGCATCAGCGGTAGAATCCTTACTGGCACTTCTTTGGCCAAAATAATATCTTCCGTTGGTATATCCTCAGAAGCTTAAAAAGCTCTTTTTTTTTTGTTTGCTTGTCTTTTTTTTTGTTGTTGTTTTTGTCTAATGTGCAGTATAAAACCAACCGTGAAGAAATAAAGTCTTCCAGTGATTCCAACAGGAACACTACAGAGGAACCTGTCACCACCACCATCATGACAACGACGGCTTCTAAGGTACCATAATTCTGTCTCCTCCGGCTCACCTTTCCCAGCAGGCTGGTACCTACCAGTCAGGAGTGAACAGGAAATGGGGAGATAGTCAGTCATTGTTTCTCACAGAATCTACATTTGTGAATTCACTTCCCTGCTAAAACTTATTGGTAAACCCAAATTCAATATTCATGGTCTTTTTCATGAATGCTGGCAAAGAGAATTTCAGAATTGCAGAATTTCAGCCACCCACTAAAGAATTCTCAGCTAAGCTGAACACTCTGCCTTCTTGTTTTTGGTTCTCATACTATACACAAGTGTCTGTTTTGTAGTGTGTTCAGTGCCACTTTTGTGTGTGTGTTTTTCCTTGTTATTTAAAATAAGCCAAATCGTACTAATAAAGTGTTCTCTAGTGTTCCTAAGCACAGAAATGCTGTGATGTGGCTGACAGAAAAATAGATGCATTTAAAGCTTCATTCAGACATGACTTACGGTTTTGTTCACTATGAGTTCAATGTTAATGAATCAACAATGCATACTGAATGAGATGTCTTTAAATAGAAACTTACTAACATAAAACAATGTCAGGTATTGATTGTTTGATGTAAACTATGTGACTAGGATTCCCAGGAACTTATCTTTGTATTTAACCTAGGTGCAACAGTTCAGCATTTGCTAACTCTCTTTTCCTGAGATCTGGGCAGGACTACCAGAAGGGGAAAGAATCAACTGTACATACAGAGGGGGAAGCCTCATTGCCATTGTGTCTCCACCACTCCTTTAAGTTGGACAACTTAAAGTTGGACGCTTGCTTTCAATTTGTAAACACATAGTACAGGCACACAATTCTTTATCCAAATCCCTCTGCCTGGGTGGCATTCCAGCTCAAGCAGTGTGGGCAGTGCATAGTTCGCAACATCTCTTACAGGGATGGTAACACCACTCTGGAAGGCAGCATTATCCGTTATGTCTGCAGCAAACTGCTGCATATTCTGCTGGACAAGAGAAATAGATTCTTGGTGGATTTATCTCTATTCGGGATAGGCTTTGTTGCCAAAGGAGTTTGCCATAAACCTATAATTAACATCAGTAGGCTTTGAGAATTTTAGAGATTTCAGAGCTAGAGATTAGAGCGGTGTCTTTGTAGGCCTATATTAGATTCTCCTGAATGCTCCCTGCCCTCACACAAAATTAAAAGAGAAAGATTCAGCTAAGAATTCAAATTAAATAGAGGCTGTGGTTAGGGGCCTCCATGGGCTGGCTTCTCTCAAGACTTCCCAGCTTATTTCCTAGTGGATCTTTCTCTGCCATCCAGATTTGCCTCCCCAGTTATGCCTTATCCTTGCCTTTTGATGTTTCACAGACATTTTTCTGAACACTTAATATGCCAGGACTTACGGGGTATTATAATTATAATAATCAAAAAACAGATATGACAACTGCCTACCTGTAGAAAGTGGTTAAGTATTACAGTTGGGAAGAACAGGGTGCTTGGAAGCATTCAGCAGGGAGTTTTAAGTTAGTTTGGGGGTTGCAAAGGATGGGTAAGGATTATTCAAGCAGGTTACAAAAGACCCAGTACGCCTGACCTCTGCCTTTGCTTGCCATTTTCTGGAACATGCTGTATCTCCTGGTGCTCTCAAATGTAGCATTTGAAGCCCATTCATGGCCCAGGCTCTATGTGACACTTGTAACTCATAGCTTGGCATCAGTTAATTATACACCAACTTGGTATTGGCTCATATTTTTGTTTGTTTCACCTCCCCAGCTAAAGTTTAAGACCTCATGCTGTAGATAATGCAGTTAGAACATTCCAGCTACTCCAAAATACTTGTTTAGTCATAAATAAAAAATGACTGGTATTCGTTTGCTTCAACATAACTCTTTATAAACCTGGTTTGTACCACTCAGATTATGTTATTTGCTCTCGGTAAATCTCATGCTGGTTTTACCCAGGATAAAGTAAAGAAATGGTTTATAGTAGCAATTATCTGGATAATTTTTGTATCTCTAACTCTTGTTGGTCATCCAGAGCCAGAGGCAGTGAAATATGTTTCTATGCTTCATTATCAGTGTAAAGCACAGAGTAAAATGTTCCAAAAAGATTCACACTGGTGTTTTCTACCTCCTGAATTATTAATTCCTATCTTTCTTAAACTCTGAATGTAGCATAAGTAGTTAAAATTACAACAAAAAGAGCCCTGGTCCTAAAATTCATAACACAAATGTAAAACATTCCAAAATTAGAAATTTTCAAAAGATATTCAAATATGAACTTATTAAGAGAAGGAAAAAACTGTTAACCTTCAGTGGGGGGATAACATTTGTTACATACACAGGGATGATGACGATGATGATTAAATTTCCTAAATAATGTTGACTTTGATTGGGAGACCACTGTGATTATAACCATGCATTAATATATTTTCTTGGTTTTGATCTACAGAACAAAACAAAGGAATACAAAATTGTAGGCAATTATTCAGATGGCATAAATGTCCTGGGTTTGATTATCTTTTGCCTCGTTTTTGGACTTGTCATTGGAAAAATGGGAGAAAAGGGACAGATTTTGGTGGATTTCTTCAGTGCTTTGAGTGATGCAACCATGAAAATCGTTCAGATCATTATGTGGTGAGCAGATACTATTTAATGCCATTTTGCTTCCCCTAAACAACTCTGTCTCAAAATTAGAAAAAAGAAGGCATTGTTTCAACTGGCCTCTTCCTAGAGGAAGCAGACACTGAAATGCAAGACACTAGAGTATTAACATACTGTTCAGCAGTTCATTCTTCGTAAAAGACTACCTGTCAGCCATTGTCTTTCTCTCAAAACCTCAGGAGGTCATCTTGCACCCAGCCAGCACTGATGTAAGCCGTGACTCTGAAAGCAGTGATCTGAAGTAGTTACTTGTACATGGAACACAAAGTGCTTTCCTTCTTAGGCCCCAGGCAGGGATTTCAGATATTAATAACCTGCTCCAGTGTTGGCACTAACACTCCTGAAGGAAAGCTGCCATCTGAACATCTAGAGACACCACCCAAGTGTCTTCCCTGTCTCTGAGATGCCAGAAATCACATTTTCCAAGAGACCTCTGCCTCATATATCTCTTATAGAACTGGTTCATCATTTTTAATCCAAAGGTAGACATTGATAGTGATATAAAAAATTCATTAATAACAGGTAAGTGAGTCACTTAATCCTAAAAAAAACCCTCAGCTTTATCATCTGTAAAAATGATAATAAAGCCTATGTCTAGAACCAGAACAGGACATTCAGTGAAATGATGCCTGTAAAATACTTTCCTCAACCCCAAGACATAATGAGTTCCACAAATAGAGCTATTATGACCACTGTACTACTACTGCCATTGCCTCTGTTGCTGGTAACTGCAAAACAAAATGATCATGGCTAGAAAGAGCCTACCATCCATATTTTATAGTGAAAGTCAAGCTCAAGTGAGATAAGCAGATATAACAAATCTGTAGGATGTATGCACACTGTGTGTTTGCTTATGACATGGGATATGCACCAGTCTGACCACAGATTGTCAAGTTTGCAAACTACTCTCATAGTAGTTTGAATAGGTAGAATCTAAGGTACATGCTGGTACTAAAAACCAGAGCCGGTAGCACTCAATGCTGAGCCCTAGATTTCATGCTGCTGTGTGTTCCTCTCAGCTGAGTGGGCCTGCGCTGGAGGGTGTATGCCCTGGCCTGTCCCATTCCCAGCATCCTCAGCCAGAGAAAATCCCTGGTAATGGACTTGTGTCTTTATTGTGCTTACTTCTTAGCTACATGCCCCTTGGTATTTTGTTCCTGATTGCTGGGAAGATCATAGAAGTTGAAGACTGGGAAATATTCCGCAAGCTGGGTCTTTACATGGCAACAGTCCTGAGTGGGTATGTCTGACTCAAGGAAAGAAACAGAAACTGCATTGGTCTCATAGAATTGCTACAGAGAGAATAGGGTACCGTTGGTTGAAGTCAGCTTTGCTCTGCTCGCTAGTGCAGAGAAAAATAAGGTTCAGAAGTAAAGAGCAGGGGGAGAGGGTTGCCCTTTAACAGCTGTACTGTAGGTGGATCATTCTTGGCTAATAACCAGCTCTTGGCAGAACAGCCTGGACCAGGTTTTGCCACTGCCATTGTTGGTTGTATTTAAATGATTTCTTAAACCAAGAGAGAAAGCCACTCATGGCTTCTTTCTGTTGCTTCCTGCCCATTACTTCCTCAAGAATATAAGCCAGCCAAGCAAGTATTAATACCCTCTCCCCCAACACATACTCCTGACATTAGAGTTTTAGGACAAACACTCCAGCTCAGGGTGTGCGGGACCTTCCCAACAGACCAGGCTGGGCCCCTTGTCCCAAAATGCCACTGAGGGAGAGGAGCAGTGAGGAAAGGTGGGAAAGGAGATTTAATCAGCATGACCATGACATGAGGGCAGACAGAGAAGTTTGAGATCTGTCGTTAAGGAGCTCAAGAAAGTTTAGGGTTTTATAGAAAAGGGGAATGACACAAGGACTGAGGGATTGTGTAGCAGGCAGCATAGGCAATCCTGGCCAAGCATAGTCTGAGTGAAGGTTATCTCAGGACTGGTTCTCTGAGGTCTTAGACAGCCATCAGTGCTTGGGAGGGCAGTTTGGTTCCCTTCCTGAAGTATTGGCTTTTACTTAGGAAGGCTGCTGTGGTTCCATCACAGGGTAACTGGTCCATGAAGGGTGACTTCATCATGGGGTGGTGTGTGAGACTCTGCTTTTCCTGGAATCTGAGGTAACTGCAGGTCTAGGAAAAAGAGCAGAAATTTCTAGGCATCACTTCAGGGAATCTGGAACTAGACAATATAAAAACAGGCAATTGGATGTCCCTGAAAATTCTGAAAACTACTTTAGTTACTCTTGGTATCCTCAGTGTTAAAGGGAGATGATACACACTAGGTAATTTTAGTGCTAATTATCCTTGTATTACTAGTTTTTAGAAAGAGACTCCTTATGTGATTAACATGCCAACATGCAGAGGTAAGCAGGAATTTGGTCCAAAGTTTTAACATAATAAAGGAAACATCTATAAAGTGAAGGCAGGGAAACCAAGATTTGTCCTGTTTTAGTTACCCTTTGGGCATCTGCAGGTCCAGCCTCTACATACTAAGACTGGAAAAAACTAAGAAGGGTCTAAATGGAGTCAGACTCAAGCTGGTAGGAACAGGAAGGCTAGTTGGTTTAACTGCTATTCCTGGAGCTGGGGCTAATGCCTTGCCCCACATCCCCAAGGTGTCAGGGAGAATGCTGGGGAAATAATCAGGCTTCTAAGAATTGTGTGAGGCCATAAGGCAGAAGGATGGGTCACTCGCAGGATACAGTCAATAATTGGGTCCTTCAGAAGAAATGCAGAGGGCGGTTACAGATGGTGCCCCCTAACATAGCCAAGGGCAGGATATGTCACACATGTTAAGAAATATAGGCCAAGGGAAGGAAAAAGTAGTATTGATTTGACTCCCACAAGTCAAACACCCAACATAAGCTGTCAACTCACTTATTAAAATTGATTGCAATGGAGAGTTTCTGCTGCACAGTGATTCTTAATCTGTGTTTGCCAGAAGTGTAGTCCTGCCTGCCAACACAGAAGCAGCCTGGGTTTCTACAGTGTGAGGGCCAGAAGCTCAAGGTCAGCGACAATGGCCAGCGCTTCTCTCGGGCTTCTGTAAGAGGCAGTACCAGGGCTATGTTGTGATATTCAGCCATTCCACAGTGTAGCTCTGCTGGCTTCTTTAGTCTAGTAATATATAATATATATATATATATATATATATATATATATATATATAAAACAAATAGTAATATATATATTAATATATATAATAATATATATCACAAACAGTAATATATATAAATATATATAATATATATATAAAACAAACAGTAATATATAATATATATATATAAAACAAAACTAAAAGTTACAGTTAAGAACTTCTAATGCTTAGCTTTAAGCCCTCTGTTGAGAAGACCCCATCTAGACACCTCCAGGACTTTTATTCCCAATGATCTTTTAGTATTTCAACTTGGATCTGTAGACTCTGAAGTGCCACTTACATATACATGCCAGCTTCCAAATGAGTCTCCTTTCTAAATTCTTTATTTTGGGTAATCCTTATATTTCCATGTGGAACAAGAAATAAATTTGAGAAGGCAGAAATAATAAAGAAAAGAGGACTACTCCTAAAGTATGTGGAGAAGCAGGGACTTTTCTCTTATTGAAACTGACTTCCCCCAGTGGACACTGTTGAGCATGATAGTGGTATGGTCCAGGAGACAGCAAGAAACAACTGTGATAAGGGCTGTGATAGGGTATCACAGGGAGACAGAGAGGAGACATCAGTTCCACCTGGGAAAGCGAGGGAAGACTTCCTGGAGAAGGGGTTTGTAAAGTGATGTGCATATACACCCATGACAGAAATAGCACATTACACAGATAATGGCGGCCTGATGCAAGCTGTTCTGCAAGCTCTGAAATCTCAACTTGGCTACTGAATTTGCCATCACCTTTGACAAGATGCTCTTTACTGACTGAGCCTCTCCGTCCTCATCTGTGGAGTAAGGACACATCATTCCTGCTCCATGTTCCATTTTCTCATTGGTTCATTAGGAAAGTTTTAAAATGTGGTTTGAAAAGCTGTCTGAAAAAAGGAGTAAGTATGAGGAGCTAGTATTCTCTAAAGCTCTTTTTCTCTCTCTCATTTGCAGGCTTGCAATCCATTCCATTATCATTCTCCCACTGATATATTTCATCGTTGTACGAAAGAACCCTTTCCGGTTTGCTTTGGGCATGGCCCAGGCTCTACTGACAGCTCTCATGATCTCTTCCAGGTAACTAGGAAAGGGGTTTCTAGAAGAAGCTTCCAGGCCACACTGTCAACTCTCATGTGATGAAGCAAATTGTAGTTTGTGGTTTTCATAGTGCCTTTGAGAGAATCTCATTTTTTCTGCCCTGGCCTTGAGCATATTTTTTTCACTTGTCTGAATGTTCCTGGTGCTCCTGGCATGGTCTGCAACCCAAGGAGGAGTTGCAGTGCAACTGGGGCAGTAATGGACACAGCACTCTCTGATTTCTAAACTGGCCCGAAGGGCCAACATGCCTCAGGCCCTTTGTTTACATTTTGGAAAAGAGGTGGGAACTGGAGACCAGCATTCTTGCACCATAGTTCTTTTCTCTTTTTATCACACCAGTTCAGCAACCCTACCTGTCACCTTCCGCTGTGCAGAAGAAAAGAACCAGGTGGACAAGAGGATCACTAGATTCGTGTTACCTGTTGGCGCCACAATCAACATGGATGGGACTGCGCTCTATGAAGCGGTGGCAGCTGTGTTTATTGCACAGTTGAATGACATGGACTTGAGCATCGGACAGATCATCACCATCAGGTGAGGATGGTGTCATGCTCATTTCCATCATGGTTACTAGGATTGCCTCAAGAAAAATGCTCTGGGGAGACCACAGATGGCTCAGCAAGGCATTTTTGTTTTGTTTTTTGTTTGGTCTACAAAATTCCTTCCCAAGATTCAGTATAAATAGTGGGCTCATACCCAAGATTTCTGCTTCAGGATCTGGGTAGCCAAAGCATTACTTTGCCCAATTCAGTGGGCCTAGTAAGTTCCAAGTGCAGAGTACACACCAGAGACTTAGAATTGAATGAAAGCTAGTGTTTACTTATAGTGGATCCCTGGTAGGTAGGGAATAGATATCAATGAGGAATAAGGGTTTAACAGAGCAAGATAGAAGATATAAGCTCTGGGTAGCAGAAGTAGCTCATACGGGCTTCATCCAGGGCTAATTCCAGAATACAGACTATTCAGTATAGCCAAAATAAGAAATATAGTGTAGATTGCATAAAACGAGGAGGCCGGAGTCAGCATGAAAGCTTTATATGGGTTGCTCATATCATGAACAGATTTATATTTTAGGTAACTGGAAATGTAGATGGTTTGGAGGGAACAGGGATCACGAGCTGGAAAACCAGTTAGGCCCAGGTGAGGTATTTAAAGGCCTACATCAAGGCACTGACACTGGGGATGGAGAACAAATGAAGCATCATTTGGACTTCAAGTGAAGGACAGAGAAAGACTAGGATGACTCCCAGGATTGGTGGATAGTTGTGGATTGGTGGATGGGGCTTACCTAGCATAAGACAAATAAGAGAAAAATATGTTTTGAAATGCATTGAATCTGAGATGCCTTTAAGATTTCGGGGGTGGGGTGGGGGGCAAAAGCTAGGCATGGTGGCACATGCCTGTAATCCCAGCACTTGGGAGGCTGAGGCAGAAGGTGCACACCTGTAATCCTAGAATTTGGGGAGGATGGGGCAGGTGGATCACAAGTTGGAGCCCAGCCCAGGGAGGGCAACTTAGTGACTCAATAAAAACCAATGTATCTCAAAATTCTAAATAAATAGAGAGAGAGAAAGAGAAAGGAAGAAACAAAAGAAAGAACCAGCAAACTAGAGTGTAGCTCAATACTGAGGCCCTGGGTTCAGTTCTCACTACTAGGGGAAAAAAAGCCTTCTAGCTAGAGATATGCAGTGAGAAGTATCTATCTGATCTGCCGATACAGAAGTCAGAATCAACAGCTTAATGGTGGTCATCAGTATGTGGGTCACAAGTCAGTTGGCTTGTGTTTTAATCTCAGGAGCACTGTGATTAGCTGTGACATTGGGCAAGAGACATGCATTCCATAGCCTCTGTTTTATCACCTGTAAAATGGGGTACATAATAGGACCTCAATTTATCCGAATGGTGGTGATTAAATAAGCTGATGCATATAAAATGATTAGTGCTTATACAGTGTTCTTCAGCAAATAATGAGGACTGCATGACTTTATGTAAGGAGAGTTTGCAGCAAAGAGATGGAAACAAAGGGCTGAGCCTTGGAAAATCTTAATATAGAGGTAAACTGATAAAGGACACCCAAAAGGAAGAGCAATTAAGAAAGAAGTGGGCCTGAGACCAAAATATCTCACCACATACTAACTAAAATAAATATGAATTAAAGAACTAAATGCTGAAACAGAAACAATCTGCTCAAAGATAAAATAGGTAACACTCCTGAAATCATAGGGTTAGGCAAGGACTTTCTGAACAGAACTGCAGTTGCACAGGAAATAGTACCAAAAATCATCTGGGGTCCTACCAAATTAATAACATCGAAAGAAACAACAAACCGTCTGAAAACACAAGTACAGAATGGGAGAAAAATTTTGCCAGCTATTCACTGGACAAAAGGCTAATATCTGGAATATATAAAGAACTAAAAAATGCAGAACATTCCAAACTAAAACACCCAGTCACAAAATGGGCAAGTGAAATGAATACACACTTCACAGAGTAACAAATGGTCAATAAATACATGAAGACATATTCAGCATCACTGGCCATTCTAGAAATGCAAATTAAAGTGACACTGAAAGTCCATCAGAAAGAATAGCCATGATCAAGAAATCAATAACAACAAATGCTGGTGAGCCTGCATGGCAAAAGGAGTCCTTTTAGACTGGTGGTAGAAATGTAAACTAGAACAAGCATTACAGAACTCGATATGGAGATTCCTCAGGAAACTAACAATAGAAATTCCATTTGACCTGGCTATTCCCATTCTAATGCATCTTTCCAAAAGAGTTAAAGGCATCATGTTACAGAGATAGCCAATTCACAATAGCTAAATCCTGGAAACAGCCTTATGCCCATCAGAAGATGAATGGTTAGAAAAAAATGTGATGTTTATACACAATACAATACTACTCTACCCATAAAGAAAGATAAATCTGAATCATTTTTAGGAAAATAAATGTACTTTGAGACCATAATATGAAGTGAAATAAATCAGGCATACAAGCTTAAATATCATGTTTTCTCTTATATAAGAAACCCAAAATTGAAATAAAGAGCAAAATAAAAGAAAGGTAATAGGAAGCAAGGAGATAAACTTTCTCAAGTGGGAAGGGGATCAAGAGATGGAATACTCCCAAAACTGTAACACAGAGTTAATGTAATCCCCATCAAAACACCATTCGCATACCTCACATGTCTAGAGAAAACATTCCAAAAATTCATTTGAAACCATAAGAGACCTAGAATAGCAAAGGCAGTTCCAGGCAATGAAGGCAAGGCAGAAAGCATCACAATCCTAGGCTGGAAATTATACTACAAAGCTACTGTGATAAAAAAAAAAAAAAAAAAAAAAAAAAAAAAAGCATGGTATTTGTGGGGGAAAAAAGACCTGAGGATCAGTGGAACAGCTTAGAAGATGCAGATATAGCTACAAACACACTCAGCCACCTTATCTCTGACAAAGGGGCCAAATATGTCCACTGGAAAAACAAGTGGTGCTGGAAAAACTGGCTCTGAACATGCTGAAGTCTAAAACTAGACCTATGTCTGTCACCATGCACTAAAATAAAGTCAAAATGGATCAAAGATCTAACTATTAAAACAGAAACTAAATCTACTGGAAGAAAAAGTAGGTAGGAATCTTGAAAACATAAGTATAATCAGAGATTCATGAACAAAACCCAAAGTTCACAGGAAATACTTCAAAGAATCAACAACTGGGATCTCATCTTATTAAAAAGCTTTTGCACATCAAAAGAAATCACCAACAGAATGAAAAGACAATCTACAGTGTGGAAAAAAAATTTAGCCAACTGTCCCTCAGACAAAAGGACTTCTATCTAGAACATACAAAGAATTGAAAAATATCAAGCCACCCAAATTCAAAGACCCAGTCCCAAAATGGGCATCTGAGATGAATGTGCATTTCACAGTTGAATACAAATGGCAAATAAATATATAAAAAATGTTCAGCATCATTAGTCATTTGAGAAATGCAAATTGAAACAACACAGAGATTCCATCTCACTCCAGAAAGAATTGCTACCATCAAGAAGTCAACCAGTAACAAATGCCAGCAAGGCTGTGGGGGCAGAAGAACCCTTCTCCACTGTTGGTGGGAGCACAAACTGGTACAACCACTGTGAAAATCAGCATGGAGTTTCCTCAAAAAACTAGGATTAGAGGTCCCATTCAACCCAGCTAGAGAAGAATTAAAAACACACCACAGCAATATATGTGTGCCCATGTCTATAGCAGCACAATTTGTAATAGCTAAATCTTGGTAACAACTCAAAAGGCTATTAACTGAGGAATGGATAAAAACGTTGCAGTATTTTTATGTAATGGAGTACTACTTAGCTATAAAGAAGGATAAACTGGAGGCTTTTTTGGGTAGATGGATGCAACTAGAGGCCATACTCATAAGTAAAATAAATCAAATTCACATGTGTGTACATTGTGTTGTCTCCCAATGTAAGAAACTTAAAGAGTAAATAAGATCCAAAATCTATAATAGATACTGTGAAAGGGAAAGAAACTGCCCAAAAAGAAATACAACTGGAATGGGAGGAGAAAAGGGAAAAGAAAAAAAATTGTGTATATATATACAGATATATATATATATATATATATATATATATATAGTAGCTAAGATAATTATGCTAATTTCTTTCAATTCATTGAAAGGAACTGTTTGTGCTTATATTGTTTGACCAGTTTTGCATGTCTGTATCTTGTAATCTGAGCAACTTCTTTGAAGTTAACAATATGCAATATATTAACCATTATTAATTTCCTGTCATCTTGTTTTGAAATTCCATATCATTTTTGCTTTTTTTCCTCTTTAAAAAAAGAGAGGAGGCAGAAAGGAAGGGAGGAAAAGGAATAAAAAACTGAGTTAAGATGTGTTATGTACAAGTACCAGCTCCATACAGGAAAATGAACATTATGTTCTGCAAACACATACAGCACTAATAAGAAAGAGGTAGGAGGCAGCCAGGAGCCATGGGATCATGAAGGCCTAAAAGAAGAAAGCTTTCAAGGGTGAAAGTGCCTCGAGTCAGATACTACAGAGACATCCAGTCAAATGAGGACAAAAACTGTCTGCTCAAGGAGACAGTGGAAATGTCATTAGTGAATTTTGCCAGAGTTGTTTCTGGACAGTTCTGTCCATCATGATGGCCACACACCTCATGTGGACAGTGGCTGGCTGATACCAAACAACTCCATCACGGCAGAAAGTTCTACTGGACAGCACTGCATTTGCGTGACATCCTTGGATTGGCATCTACTTGGGGAATTCAGTTCAGTTCAGAGTGGAAGTTTAAGATGAAACGGGTCCTCAGGCCCATTTAAGGTTGAATCTGAATTGTTTAGAATAAGCTGACTTTTATAACCCAAGCACAGACACAAATGCCAGGCATAAGTGAAAGTCTGGTAACTGGTAGTGTTCTAATGCTGTGTATTAAAACAAAATCCTCCCCATCCCTGAATCATGAAATATTGCTGTTTGCTTGAAATGGACAGGAGACAAGTGCAAAATACACCATTTGGCAGACTGCCCAGTGAGTAAAACAGATATGCATTGTGTATAAAAAGTGTCAGTGTTTAAAGAAGCCCACGTGGGAAGAGCTTTGGTAAGGTCCTGCAGTTACAACAGCAAGGAGAACATGAAAACTAAAACTGAATTGTGCCTGAAGAAAGTCTCTGTTCCACAGACACCGCTGTGGTTCCAGCAGTCATTACTTTTAATTTTCCAAATGTCCCCACAACCCCACCTCTTTACCGGGCCTGGCAAATCCACTGTGCACTGAACTAATTCCCAGAGAGGGGTTGTCTGGGGTGCTGGTGCTTCTTGCGTGTTTGCCACTTTTTACAATGGATGTCCTTCTACCGCCTTTGTCATACCTTTTCTAAATCTATTTTTAAAAAACCTGGCTGCTTCAAGGAATCCTACTGACCAATTAGCTAATTCACATCAAAGCCTCTCCCCTCTGGCATATTCTTAAATCTGACTTACTGGTAGCCAGTAGCGCAGAACTGTGAGGCACAAAGTCATCATTGACTTAAAGTAAAAAGTCTTCTCTGGCTCTATCTGGAAAACAATAAAAATTTTTAACTTTACAGGTTATAGTTACATCTCATGTGGCTAATAGTTAAAGATATTTCTGGACATGTAATATATTTCTTTCTGTGGAGTAGACATCAGAGAAACACAGATACGATCCTTTTGTGGTTTTATCTTAATATCTCCTTATCACAGATTATAAGTGATGGAAAATGGGATGAATTGTCTTAGATATTTACAGGATTTGGATTTTAGAAAGGGATTAGAGAAAAAAAAAGTAGCTGTAGTTGTTGTAATAGCACAGGTTCAGTTACCTTTATCCAAAATACTTGGAATAAGAAGTGTTTTGGATTCTGGATTTTTTTCTCTATTTTGGAATATTTGCAGATACATAATGACAGTGTAACATACAGAATGGGGGTGGGATAAGCAGAGCCTCTGAGGCTTGTATAAAAGCAACATGGCATGGAATTTATTGTGCCTGAGGCCATTTGCTGCAAACAGAGCAAAATGTGTCCCTTTTTATAGGGATGGAGAGAGAGCTGAGACATTAGGCAGGAAGATCCCAATAAACATCTGTGGTCAAAGATCTCTGGCAGTCTTGCATCTCAGTGGGTAGAGTCCTTGAAGTGTCCCATGTAAATTCTCAGGGGGTCTTCTGTGTCCCCCGGTGTCCCAGGAGCTGCCAAATTCCTTGTCCTATCTTATCTCCTTTCCTGTGCTTGCCAGGATAGGGACTGAGCTAAGTTCCCTGCTGAGAGCTGAGTTCCTGTAGAAAGTAGCCCTGCTGGGGGCTGGGGCAGTCAGGTCTGATTAAAACGCTACCGAGAGATCTTGGAGATAGAACCAAAGGCTAAACATAAACTTCACTTATGCTTCGTGTATACCTTGCCTTAAGGTAATTTTATAGTTTTGTTTTTAGTGCCACCTGTGTTTTCACTGCTGTCTGTCACATGAGATCAGATATAAAGTGTTCCACTCTGCCATTGTGTCAGTTTTAGATTTTGGAGCTTTTTGGATGTGGGAACTTTAAATTAGGGAAGTTAATTAACTAGTTCCACCTAGTTATTTTGGTTCCACCTAGTTATTTTGGTTGTTGTAGTGGCAGTAGTAACACTGGCGGTGGCAGCACTAGTAGATACATAACAGCTGCAGAGAGGATATGCTTTAAACTACTACACAGGTGTCACCCCAGATGGCCTATGGATTGATCTTCAAGCAGCCCTGCAAGGTAGACATTGTGTTCCCACAGTATATGCAAGAGTTGAGACTAAGAAGTGACTTGCCTAAGTTAGCTCTGTAGGTAAAACAGCAAAGCCAGGAGTGTACTTAGGTGTGACTGACTAAAATCTATGCTCATTCTAATTCACAGTTCAGCCTTCAGCCTTGTTTAGAAAGCTGAGGTAGGGCTGGGGGTTAGCTCAGTGGTACAAGCGCCTGCTTGGCAAGCACAAGGTCCTGAGTTCGATCTCCAGTACTAAAAAAAAAAAAAAAAAAAAAAAAGCTGAGGGAAAAGTAGGCCCCAGTACTAGGAAAGAACTTTCTTTGTACCTCAGAGAGCAAAAATAGTCTCTCGGCCAAAGTAGTGTATGTTCAAAAGCAGGAACGGGTTTTTAGATTTTTACCTTATCTGAAAATTTAGTTCTGAGTTTCAGACCAAAGCCAGTCTTTCAAAAGGTGGAAGTTTGGCACACAAGGTCAAAACTCAAAGGCAGAGTTTTCTTTAACTGAATAGGTTTTGAATTTCAAGCCCCATTTCAGGCTATAAGAACATGGTTAACTATAATGTATGGAGGCTTCTGAGTGGGATCAATAGACCTAAACACAAATCACTTGACAAAGAAAACCTACTGATGCATTCAGTTTAAATTTCTTTTCAGTAAGTATTGAAATAAAGTTGGGTTTTCCACAGAGTACTTAGGCTAGAACAAAAGATTATGCAAAAAAGATTATGCAAACGTGAACCTTTTAGAGAAACTGGTACAGCCCAGACATCTCTGATCTGCTATACATTGGTAGCTATAGGCACTGAAGGAAAATGCACCCATCACGCTTGAACTTGAATTTGTACCGTCAAATGGCCTCTGTAAGACATCACTGTGCAAATGAATGGGCAGTAGAATGAGCTTCCTGAGATCTCAGGGACTTTTTGACCCCACAAGAATATGGTTTTGTGCATAGGATTAGGGTGTTTTCTAGTTTAGATGGAGGAGTTTCTGCACATTAACCTCCAGCTCGTTAGCACTGTGGAGACGCAAGCCTTGGCCCAAGGGTGAGGCTGTGTGTTTAACGCGTATTGTGTGTGTCCTGTCAAATCTCATCCAAGTAAGGGATTTTTCAAGGCATCATGAGGTCTAATTTCCTCCAGAACAATCCAATTACAATGATAAAGTTGTCACTGATTTTTTTTTAAATGCACATTCTAAAGAGAAAACCCTCTAATGCCACATCTTGTCTGCCCAAGAGGGATCTTTCTCAATGCAAGGAAATAAAAGCTTATGTGGCTGCCTTTCCTGGATCCCAGATCTCTCTGCCTTTGGTACAAAACACATTCACTGGCAAAAACAGGCAGCCAAGAATAAATGCTTGTACCTTCAACAGGAATCAGTCTGTCTTTCAATTCAGTGTGCTAAAGGTCTCTGTCAAAGAGGTCGAGTCTTATGATGTCCAGAAAGTGCATAAAACCTACCCACACCTTTCTGCATTCCTTTACTCTCAACTGAAATACCCCTACCACTGTCCCTCTACTCATCCTTCAAGGCAGCACAAATCCCTGGAACACATTAGATGTTCAGCAAATAATAGGCCAGGTGAGTAGGTAGAAGAAGGGAAGAAAACTTTCAGAAAAGTATCTGGCTTTACTTTAGGACAGATGCATGGACAGGTAGGTGAAGCCTTCTTGCAGCTCTTCTCCGTTTCCTGTGTCAGAGTGATCTGCCTCCTCTTCCCCTGCCACTGCCTGGCACCATCTCCCTCAGTCCCCTACTGCTCTCATCTTCTGATTAGGCAGAGCTAGTGCTTAGCAGAACACAGATTCTGACTGCCCAAATGGGGGACATAGCAGTCATCCCCATGGAGGTATTGCCCTAACTTCCAGGCCGGGGACCTCAAAGGAGAAATAGATGTCTAACTTCTTCTCTGCTGGTGTTTTGGCTACAGCCTCACAGCCACAGCTGCCAGCATTGGAGCTGCTGGAGTGCCCCAGGCTGGCCTGGTGACCATGGTGATCGTGCTGAGTGCTGTGGGCCTGCCTGCTGAAGATGTCACCCTGATCATCGCTGTCGACTGGTTCCTGTGAGTTGAAATAAATGCCCTGCCTCAGCTGGGTGGACAAGCAGCTTCTAGTCATGTAGAATCTGCAGTCTTCCATAATTATCTTCTCCGATTGCCTAATGAGCCATCTGTTGCTTAATTTCCCCTCTGACCAGGTCATCTTGTAACATGCTTAAAATTTAACTCGTAACTTGGAACAATATTAAAAAAAAAAAAAAAGCCACCAATGTGCTCCAATCTGTCATTATACCTGATAATGATCAAGGTTAGGATCTGGGTGTGGGATAAAATAAACACAGTATAATAAAGTTAAGGAGCTGGACAGAGCCCTGTAGCTATCCCAGTTTATCCCAACTCTGGTTAGTAATACAGGCCTAGAACCACCAAGTTCAAAACCAGTGCATCTTCCCGAGCATCTTTGGACTCAACAGAGGCAGCAGCATGAGCAAATTTTTTGGGACAAGACTGAGGTAGTTGTGAATGCCCACTCCATGTCTAACTTTTTGTCCTTCAGCAAGTTCATTACTTCTCTGAGGTCTAGGTGCATTATTTGAACGCCAGGTAAGTCAAACTCCAGTCCGAGGTGATGAGATAAAAGACACTAGGGCTAATTCACTGCCTGGCCTTGGTCTAAATAACAGAAGGGCATCCAAAGTGGAAATGAATGGGCACAGTTGGCCTTTTCTGTCTAGTGAGTACAGTTTTCACAAGAATATCCATGTTCACGGTTCTTGGCAACAACCACCACTGTTCCAGTAAATGTGCCCCCCTGCAGTAGTCCTTCTGTACCTGCCACCAGCCTCTTCTCCAGGCTGTATGGGAATTCAGTGCGGCTGAAGTTGTTTCCAGAAGTCTCATCCTGGGCTGACCTGTGTTCTCTGCCATAGGGCTGACTCAGGCTGTGACATGTCCCTGCTGACTTGTGCACTATGACCTCATGTGATAAACAAGCAGACCAGAAAGAAAGAGAGAGAGCAAATGAGTTCAGGTTCTCACCTTAGTCACAAGGTCACCTGGGCAGTGAACCTGCAATACAGAGTTTAGGGCTGGGAGATTTAAAAGAGTTCAAAGCCTTTTTTACCCTCAACATTTCTGGGTAGACTCTGTTCATGTTTCTTTAGGAGGAGAAAAAGATTTCAGGAGATTTAGGGAAGTCATTGCTGTCCTTACAGGAAGCACAGATCTGGTAGATCCTGTTTGTGTCTTTAGGAATGAACTTTTTTGCTTCAGTTCTGTGAGGTACCTATCTATAGTCAGGCAGTGAGGAACAGTATTTTCTGCACTGGCTTAAATCTGAGCTGACTACGTCAAGTCCTTTCCTTTCTCCAGACAGTAAGGAAAACGAAATCTGAGCTCCCTGATTCTCCTGTTTTCTCTCTAGGGACCGGTTCAGGACCATGGTCAATGTCCTCGGTGATGCTTTTGGGACTGGCATTGTGGAAAAGCTATCTAAGAAGGAGCTGGAGCAGATGGATGTTTCATCTGAAGTTAACATTGTGAATCCCTTTGCCTTGGAATCCACAATACTTGATAATGAAGACTCAGACACCAAGAAGTCGTACATAAATGGAGGCTTCGCAGTAGACAAGTCCGACACCATCTCATTCACCCAGACCTCACAGTTCTAGAGCCCTGGCTCCGATGACTGGGATGCTGAAGGACATCTCCACAAGGGTCATCTCTTAATGAATTCAAACATTTAGGAAAAGAAAAAACAGTCAGTTGTACATTTAGTTTGATATACAGACCTCCAGCTTGTTTTATTTTCTACATTTGGCTTGATAAGCCTTCACTGTCTGAGTTTCAAGATTTGGGGTGGGATAAGATGGAAAAAAAAAGATTCTACAAGGAAGTTGTATTATCTGGCTTTTAAAATTCTGTCAGACAAAGTTTGGAAGTACATAAAACACTGGAACTAGGTAACAGTGGAGGAGAAATTGTTTTCTCGTGTATAGACCAATGTCTTGGGTTCTAGAAAAAAAATTCTCGCATTGACAACAAACTTTTACTCAGGCTTTATATTGGTGTGGATTTCCTTTGACTTCTCACTTTTATAGATAATAACGCATCAAAACAACCCCATCTAGTTAATGTGCCATACTTTCCATTTTGAACTCATCTCCAACCAATTTTAAGTAAACTGCTTAAAAGAAAACCAGCCAGCACAGTTCTGAAATAACAGTTTTAAGATGAACATAGGGTCCAGGGGTAAGGGAGGATTCTTTTATAAATGTACTGTATTGGGACACTGGTAACTGTTAACCCAGTGTTCAGCACAGAACTATATATGTGTATATAAATATTTATTATTTTCATATAATTTGCAAGACAGAGATCAGAATTGAACTGTCAATGTGAAAAATGACTTCTCCTTGTACTTGAATAACTATAATTCCAACCCAAGTCTGCTTTGGGGTTTATCAAAGACTCCTCAAGAGGAAAGACGAATCATGTTGTCAGAAGGTTTCGTGTCTGTGTATCTTCCCTAAAGCAGAGGTGTATTTTGGTGATACTCCAGGATGGCAAAGGCATTCTATTAGAACATCCAGATTCAAGCTGCCTGGAAGGAATCCATAGCAACTGTACCTAAGATTACATACAAAGGTGTCACTTCAAAAAGGTTGGCTGTGCTTGTGTCCAACTAGAAGACTTCATTCTTCCAAGTTCACTTACACCCACTGAAAGAGGCCAGTATTTTGCTGCCTTTGCACTTTTATACCTAACAGGTCCCAGATAACACTAGCAAGCTACCAGCTAAGTTGTATTTTAAAGTACATTCTGTTTTTGGTTGAATAAGCTACCATGCACACAAGCTGTTCTACCCTGAATTTTTGTAGAGTTAATCCCATGACATGAGACATAGGTATCAGTGGTTCAGGGGAAATTCTTCTATCCTATGATACTGGCCCAGCCTCCTCCAGAAAGGATTGTTCTAACTTGTAATCTTGATCATTAAAATTTTCTGCTAGTCATTCTCCTCTGATGTAATGAATATAGCTTATTAGTTTGTGCTTTCATCTTGTAAATAATGTTTAACAATAAACTTATACTTAGATCCAAAATAGTCATTTCTGTAGTAATGTGTACCCAGCTTAAACCTGTACTTTTACATTTTAAAAGAAGCTATAAATTGTGCCAAAGAGAGCAGAAAAGTAAATAAATGCTCAGTACTGATGACCTGGACCTGAAATCTCTGAGGAAAGATGCTCAATTGACATGTAAGCCTCATAGTGATCATTGATTCAATGTGAGTTTAAAATGCAAATAGTATGTTGTTTATAGGAAATAAATCTAAATAATTGAAATTGAATCAATAATTTATTTTGGGCTAAATGGTTCTATCCTCTTATCCGGTGACTCTAATCCATGGCACTAGAGTTGGAAGATCTCTTAATGAATGGCAGTTTATCCTTATTTCAGAGTTTGTAACCAGCCTTTTAACACATTGTGCTGTTAAGTCAAAAGAGAAGAATGTTCCATTTCAGTGTCAATAAATATGTCTTTCATTCTTTCTTTCCTTCCTTTTTCTGCCTGGTTCTTCTTTTATGTCATTTATATGGGTAAGTGTAGAAAAGCTGAAATCAGATCATCTGAATTGGACTATACACAGATTATTATTTTCAAAACTTTTTGCCGCCCCAAGAATGAAAAAGCAGGGCTGGAGGAAAATAATTCTTCATAATAACCAGTGAGAATTTCAAGGCTGAAATACAGTACCATTAGGAAATGCTGTGATCATAGGTTTTGACTGAAGGAAAACAGAATTTTGTTAGAAATTACTGTTATACAATATAGGCTTCTCTGTAGAAAATGGTAACTTGGTTTAACTGAAGGACCAACCCTTTCCTATGAAACATGACTGCAAATAGAGTGTTCTGTAAAGAAATGGCTCTGTCCTGCTTGAAATAGCTGAGCCATGACTGCTTTCCGCAGGACATGGCAGACTCACCTGTGTGACTGACATCAAAGAAATGGCCCCCTGGGACACAGCAGTATAAAAATGTCCATTACTGTCTTGCCACAGGAATACAGGGTAGTTTCTTTTGATTATAACATGGTGGGGATGGGGGACACCAACAACACAACCTCCCAGAAAGAGATTACATTGGAAAAGTTGGTGTACCAGTACCAGAGGACTTCTGTATGATTTATTCTGGACAAAATACACAAAAGATGTCATTAGTTCTGGACAATGGCTTTAATTTTTCATCAAATTTTGTAAGCCTACTGGGTAAACTTTTTTTAAACATACTTCATTTTTAAAGTAACAATGGGAAATGGGTTTGGCTTATCCTTAGACAGTGGACCAGTAGGAGTGTTGGCTTTGCAGGTTTATAAGAATCTGCCCTCCTGCAACAGCAGAGAAGCAGTGGTCCTGTGGAGCGTTGGCAGGATGCTAGAAGATTCTGTGCATCAGTGTTGACTAACTGCCCACCAAGGGACCATGGGGCACAAGGAGTAAGCACATAGCTCTGATTTCATTTTTGTGACCTTGCCAGTAATCTAAGCCTGGAGTTCCTCTTCCATGAAGCAGGGATAACAGTCCTTGCCTTGTAAGCTTGCTTTAAGTGAGAAAATGTCTGTGATACCTCTAGCAAAGACCCTGTCACATAATATGTTCAATAAATGCTAGAGCTTCCCCTCTACCCCAGCCCCTGAGTAAGGACGTTAGATCTATACCCTTTGCCTCCTCCTCCATTTACATAACTAATCCACAATGTAGATTATTCATGTGCTATAATTAGATAAGTGTCCCCCAAAGGCCCATGTATTAAAGCCTAGATGCTGGCCTGTGGTGCTGCTGATTACCGGAGGAAACTTTAGTGGGAGGAAGTTAGGTCATTGGGAGCTTGCCCTTCAAGAGATACTGGTACCCTATTTCTCTCTCCTCTCTCCCTCTCTGTCTTTGTCTCTCTTTCTCTCTCTCTCTCTCTCTCTCTCTCTCTCTCTCTCTCTCTCTTCCTCTCGCAAACTCTCTCCTTTCCAATCACCACAAGTTGAACAGCCTTCTATATCACACATTCCCACCATGGTGTTCTGCTTTGTCTGTCACAGATCCTGAAACAATGGAACCAGTGGGCCAAGGACTAAAACCTCTAGAACAATGAGCCAAAATAAACCTTTCCTCCCTAAAATTTGTTTAATTCAAATATTTTTCCACAGTGACAGAAACTGACTGGCACAGATGCAACTGTAATTGCTCTTTCAGTGTTTCAGGACCCATGTGCAGATAGGAAATGTTGCCCCCACCACTGGATGCTAACTGGATTATTATAGTGAACAGTACACCCAACCTAATTGAGACTTCATAAAACCACCCCATTCTATGGAATGGGGAACTTTCTGGAAATGGCACCTTTAAATCTTAAAATATTTGCTCCTGAAAAGCACCACATGGCAAAAAATAAGTGTCTGCAATCTTTTTTGCTATTGTCTGAGACACAGAAGGGACTGAGCTGCCCGGGCCGCCTGTGGGAGGGTGAGGTGCCTGTTCCTGTAGCATTCCTTCATTATGTCCTGAAAACACGAGGTTCACCTCTGCAGTCTCAGCCTACCAATCTCATGTGACTCCACAAAAACTATCCTCTCTGCCTGACAGAAACAGACTTTATTCTACTCCTCAACTGGCCTTTTAGTGTACCCTGTGGTGACAAATGTGCCTTCCTCTCCTGAAATCTTAAGACTCTTTAAGTAACATCCATATAGACAAGAAGTAGAATTTGTTAAATTGGCCTAGGAACAATATAACAATGAACATATATGGAACAAGATGACTGCACTTAAGTGTCTCAGTTATTGGTTATGGGTAGAAATTACCCAGAACATTGCTGGTGGCCTAGGCTATGTGATCCTGCAAAACTCCTAATAAGCCCATAGCAAGATTGAACCACACAGCTAATGTCTCACTCTTCCCTTACCAGGACAAAGCAACTCCATGTACAATTTGGATCATGTATCTTCAGAATTACTGGGATACTTCCAACCAAAAATCTCTACCTGGTCTGCCACATTTATGATGTCACAAAATTCAGAACAGTTATGAATAAACCCCAAGGACAAGATATACATCCATTTCTTTTGTTATTCTAGTGAGGAAAAATAGAAAAGAGTACAGTTGTGACTCTTCTAGAAAGCCACAAGCCCAGAGCAAGGAGGCTATTAACCCACAGGAGCAACACTGGGGCATTACACAGAAATTTGATTACAAAGTACCACACACACACAAAGACAAAGAAGCCTGAAACTAACACAGAATCAGCTTAGCCCCTAAGCAGTGTTATTCAAATGTCAACCTTGTTTTCTTTCCAGGAAACTGCCTGCTCATGGCAGATTGGAGACTCGCTCTGGTAGTTGCCATTCCTCTGTAACTCAGGAAACCCACTTGCTTTATGATGTAGCATTTCCTGCTTCACTTTAGGGTGTCTGTGGGAATGCAAAGCAAGGCTGCATCATTTAAGTGGTTCAGAGTCAAAGGTCCAACTGCCAGAGGAAGGCACAGGAGCCCTGGAGATCTGATACTAGCCAGGAGTTGCTTTTCATATTCAGACTGTGGAAAGGTCCATTTCCCAAGGTAAAGAGAAGATGGATTAACATTAATTAAGTCATGAAGGAAGAGTAATCAGTGGAGCAATGGCACCACTTTGTCAATGTTATGAACACATCCTCAAAGTGGTAAAAGCATGCACTTTTTTTTTAATGACCTAATCTTCCACTAGACATTCTTACATAGCTTTGATTTAGTCTTGTGTTTTATTTTCAAAGTCATAACTTAGCAAGAATATAAGACCAACAGGGGAAAAAAATTGTCTGAGTTGGAAAGAGGCAAAAAGGTTCTAAAAATCTGAATTTGAAGGTAGCAAACTTTCAAATCTTTAGGTAAGTGGATGGAAGTTCTGCTGTGTAAACTCCAGTTACAAACAGTGGCAATCCAGGAAGCAACAGAGGGGCATTGGCTAATCCTTCCCAAACACATGATTCTGTCTTCCCAGCACTGGTTTCACCAATGGATTTTACCTCTCTGGACTTCCCAGCGAATCCTTCATTTCCTAATTTAGTCAGAAACAAGATAGACAAGTATGTGTCAGTTTCACATTAATCACACACATATCTAAGATGGTCTGTAAGAACTATTTAGTCTGCTCTTCTGGCTCTAAGGACAGACAGACAACTACCCCCTCTGTTCTTGTGCATCTTTCAAGTCACTGACCTAACTCCTAACAGCTTCAGGCATGTCTCAGTTGCTTTTTCTTGCTGAGACAAAATACTTGACACCCAAAATGAAGGAAGGAAAGGTTTATTTAGCGTACAGTTTTTGGAGGTTCCAGTCCATACTCAGCTGCGGTTCCAAGGCAGTGTGGTGTGGCTAAGGGCAACTGTTCATGGCAGCCACAAGCAACAAAAGTGAAAAGAGTTAAAAGGGAAAAGCATGCCCCTTTCCCTCCCTTATATTGTATGGCCGGCTACCCACCCCTAGAAGGGTGCAGCACTCACAATGCTAATCCCAGTGCTAGTCAATGAGCCAATCACAAATGCTAGACTCAGTTGCCTTCAAAAGACCCATCCCACCATGACCACATGAGGCTTTGGGAGGACATTTAAATACAAATACCTTAACAAGGCATCAGATGTGGCAGTGTCTTCTTGCCTGGATGAGTGTAGGAGAGGGTTGGGTGCCCTGATTTTAGAAAGAAGAGAAACACAGAGGCAAATCATTTTTAGGCATTTGGCAAATGTTAGCATTTCAGTTCCTGGGTGGCAAGCACTGTTTCAAACACTTCCATATTAACTCATTTAAAATAATAGCACCATGAAATGAGTACTACTAGCATCCCTTTTATACAGATAAGAAAACTGTCTCAAAAAGTTAAGCAAGATCATACAACAAACAGGTGGAAAAGCAGTTTGGCTACAATATTCTTCAATAGGCACTGTAAGTAAGGCAGAGGAAGCCAGGAGTGCTGGAACATTAACTCTAAATCAAGTCTGAGGTACCCCAACACTTTCAAAATGAGAAATACTGTAGATATCTACTTTACATCATAGAGCCTACAGTTAACAATATTGCATTATACACTTAAAAACTTGGTAAGAGTATAGCTCTTAGGCAGTAAGTGTGTTGTCTCACACAATGGAGAAAAGATGGATGGAAGGAAAGGAGAGAGGGAGGGAGGGAGAGGGGAAGGAAGGAAGGAAGGAAGGAAGGAAGGAAGAAAAAGAAAAGAAGGAAAGGAAGAGAAGAAACTAAAGAGAGGAAACTAGATGGGACAGAAAAGTATATGGCATTGACTGTGGAGATGGTTTCATAGGTGTATACAGTACTTACCACCAAACTCATTAAGTTGAATATGCTAAATATGTACAGCTTTTTGCATGCCATACATCAATAAAAAGATTTACCAAAATAAATGAAGAATTGTTGTTAACACCAAGTGTCAATTATATGGTAACACGAAGTAAATATGTTACACATATAATCTTACTTATGCTTCTCAACACTCTTATCAGGCAAATGATATTACCCTGTGTTTTCAAGATGAGAATACTCAAGCTTAGCAAGATTAAATGACTTGGCCAGGGGCTGGGGATTTAGCTCAGCGGCATAAGTGCCTGCCTTGCAAGCAGGCAGTCGTGAGTTCGATCCCTGGTACCAATAAAAAGTAAAAAGACAAAAAAAAAAAAAAAAAATAAGTTGGCCAAGTTCACACAGCGAGACTCAAAAATTATTCCAAAATCTTTTCCTAATTTTCAATGCACAAGCTTCAAAATGCCTAAAAAGACAAAGCATGATAATAGCTCATCATCACTTCTTTAAAAGTTGTTCATCTTTTCATGTCATTTAATTTGCTATAATCAAATTTACTCCTTCAGATCCCCTCTCTCTGTTTTACCATTCTAGTAAAGATTAATTTAAAATGTGCCATTATTTAGTGGCTTGAACTTGCCTCCTTTATGGCCGAGACATTACCATTCTGTCCTTCTCCTCACCTTTAAATCCTTCATTCAAAACCCAGTTCTTCCAGGAGCCCTATTTGTTCCAAAGCCAGAGATAGGACGATGTTAGAATAAAAACTAGAATGCTACTTCTCTTTTCTTCTCATACCAAATTCTTAGGGCTGCTTACTGGATTTCATACCTCCATTTCCTCCCCATTTACCTGAACCCCGTGAAGTACAGTTTCCATGTCTGTTCTGAAAATCCAAGGTAACCCATGACCTGCTTATAAAATCCAAACAGCATTATGGTAATATCTCCAGTAATTTTAGATCATATGGTTATACTTCTGCAATATTTGTCACAATTAGCTGCCTTGTATTCCACTAAACTCTCTCCGTGGGTTCCACGTTATCACCAGGCTTGGCACTTCTTGCTCTTTCTCCATTGCTCTCGCATCATCTTTGTAATCCGCTCCTGCTGCTGCTCTTTGCTGTGGGTCTTATTTCTGCCTCTGCCAAACTCAGGAACACCTCAAATAGGTGAAATGACTCTCTCTCTCTCTCTCTCTCTCTCTCTCTCTCTCTCTCTCTGTCTTTCTTATGGCTAAATTTATCCACTCTGTGCAGACAATTACCCAAAATGTGTATGTACAAATTGTAAATATAGCTGCTCTTAGTTTTTCCTTCTCTCTTAGCCAAACTTTGGATCCCATCTGCAGCTGCTATTGGGCATTTTCCATTGGCCTTTTTGCCATTCTAAGCTACACTTAGTCAATATCCACCTCCTAATTTTTTTTCTGAAATATTTACTAAATTTTATGTTCTCAAATCACCATCATTTCTCCAGTAATTTGAGATCATAACGGTTTCTTCCTGTTTTTGACTCCGAGAGGTCTAAGGTTGTAAGGAAGATCTACAGACATTAGTTCATTTATCCAAATCTCTCTGCCCTGGGATCCAGGAGGGAACCCTGAGTGAACAATGTCGTCTCTGTGAAGCAGCTGGCTCAAGATTCAGTCACCTTTCACACATGAGTAACTGGATGTGGTCTATTCCTGAATTTGCACTTCTTGTGTATTCTTTGAATAAATAAAACTTGTATTTTGATAACCCTTTAATTCTATTTACAACAATGAGACCTTCATAGTAAGAACAAGAGTCCAGTGGATTAAAAAACATGAAGCCACTAAATCAAGTGTGGTGGTATTATAGACAACTGAGTTAGGTAGAAATATGATAGTCAGATAGGGATGGACCCTGGAGAGAGTAGCTGGAGAAAACAAAAACTCCCTACAGCAGTGGGCAGAGGTGTATCTGTTGGAAGCCAGATTGTCAAGATAAAGATGAAATGACCAAGCCTAAGACAAGTGGTAACACTTGGTCTAATAAAGTCTAGATAGACATCAGTCACTTGCATGGGTGACCAAGACTCTCAGATTCATTTCTTCCTGAAAAATTCTTTGTTCCTTCCATGTGTACTTTGCTACATGATTTGCTTCCCCATTGGATCAATATTACCTAAGTGGCTATACTAATAATCTTATTGGTTGATCAAAGCTTTAGCCCATAATGAACCCATGTGATTGTGCTCTCGAAAACTTCCCCGAGAAATGGAGTCTTCTGCAACCTACTCAAGACCCCTCCTACCTCTCTAAGAACTGTATGTCTCCCCTACAAGAAATACTTCCTACTCTTAAACCTCTTTTCTTCCTTGGAATTCATTCTCTGATTTTCAGGAACATGAACTCAGTGCATTGGACATCCAGCAGGCTGAAATTTATAATATCTCATTCCTATATCATTTGGAGATCCTATATAATTTCCTATATCAGTGGTGCATGCCTATAATACCAGCACCCAGGAGGCTGAAACAGGAGGATTTCTGGGAGTTTCATGCCAGCCTGGGCTACACCGTGAGACACTGTCTCAAAACAAAATAAAACAAAAGAACCACAACACTAAATACAAGATGGCTTGCATTGCCTTGGGAATCCACTCTGCCCCTCAGTGCCCCATATGCTAGTATTCTGAGCACTCCTTCATTTATCTCCCCTGCCAAAAAGAGACCATGAATAAAAGAATACCTCCTCAAAAGATTTTACTTAATCTTCTATTTTGTTCTTTCAATCCTTGAGATCACTTTGCCTCAGGTCATGAAAAACATGAATCTACAAACTGAAGGATTTATATCTACAAGATAATCATTCCTTTAATCAATACTTTACTTCTTTGTGCACACCTGTCATCCCAGCCCTCCAGGCTGACTCAGGAGGATCATTGCAAATTCAAGACCAGCCTGGGCTACAAAGTGAGCTCAAAGCCAGCCTACATAGTGAGACTGTCTCAAAAAGACCAAAAAACAAACAAACAAAAAAAAACCCCACTTTACTTGTTAGGATAAAAAAAAATCAATAGTGTACTTGTACATCAATAATAAACCTACTCAGAAATAAGTAGGAAAATAATATCATTCACAATAACTTCAAGAAAAAAGTACATATTTAGGAATTAATCTAAGGAAAGTGGTAACATTTGGTAATAATGAAAACTGTAGTATTCCCAACGGTACTATACTAAAAGAAGACCCAAGAGGACATCAGAAAATGGAAAGATATATCTGTTCCTAGCTAGGCAGAGCCAATACTGCCAAAATGGTCATGCTTCCAAAACTGATGTATAGATTTAAGGAAATCCCAATTAAAATATTCATACAACTAAAGAAATCAATTGTAAAATTCATAATGAAAGCAGAGGAGACCCGGCAAGGCAAAAGCAATTCTGGGCTACAACAGCAAAGCCAGAGGCATCACAATCCCAGACTCCAAGTTACACTGCAAAGCTACAGTGACAACAGCACGGAACTGGAACAAAAACAGGCCTGTGAATCAGTGGAGCAGAATAGAGGATGCAGAAACAACCCCAGGCACATTTGCCATCTGACAAAGAGGTCAAAAACAAATGCTGGCAGGGAAAATAGCCTCTCTGATAAGTGGTGCTGGAACAACTGGCTATTCACATATACAAAATTGAACTTAAACTCTTATCTTCCCCGATTTACTAAACTTAAAATCGATCAAAGGTCTAAATATTAAAACAGAAAACACTTAACCTACTGGAACATAAAATAGGTATAATAGGTATAAAATAAGCAAAGACATTCTGAACAGAACCCCAATTGCACAATAAACAACATCAAGAATCAACAAATGGGATTACATCAAATTTAAAAGCTTCTGTTACAGCAAAGGAAAAAACTAATAGAGTGAACAGACAACTTCAGAATGGGGAGAAAATGCCAGCTATTCCTCAGAGGACTAATATCTAGAATATAAAAAGAACTCAAAAGAAAATTAGACCCTGTTATGGCTTAGCTCTAACCAATGTGCCTCCGTCTTGTTCTGTATGCGCCGTCTCGATAGGGTTAAGTTTCTAATTCTTGTAAAAGCTTAAGTTTCAGCTTCTTGTAACTTCCCTACCTCCTTTCTGCATGTTATTGCTAGTGAGCTGTTCCAAGATAATTAACTCCCCTCCCCCTTTTCCGCATGTTATTGCAGGTGTGCTATTCCGAGATAATGTTTAACCACAGGGTGGAAGTAGCGGAATGCACCAAGAGCTCCAGATGTTATCAGAACTAAGTCAACAGCTTTACAGCTTTGCGGGTTTTTTAGCTTTAAATATCCCTCCCTTAGTCTGTCAGGCGCACAGTCTCTGGGTCGATCCTGATGAGGCTGCATCACCAGGCTTGAAATAAAGCCTTTGCTCCCAAATTTCTTGCTTCCTTGGATTTTATTCTAAGGTCTGAGCTATCTCAGACCCCCCCTAATAAAACACTGTCATAAAATGGACAACTGAATTGAATAGACACTTCACAGAAGTACAAATGGACAATAAATATATGTAAATATATGAAAAAAAGGTCAATGCTAATGGCCAATAGAGAAATGCAAATTAAAACTACACTGAGAACAGATTATATAATGCAAGATGTAATGAACAGATACTCTGAAGAAGAGATGCTAAGAAACCTGAGGCAAATTTTGTAGCATTATGATATAAATTCTAGCAATACTATTGTTCGCTGATTAGAATGACATTGGTCTGGTCTCTTGAGTCCAATTTCAGCATATGTAGAGATGGGGACAGCTATCACGAAGAGAATGAGAGATGCGATGATAGTTATTATTGTCTTCCCTAATGTTAGATCTTGAAGACCTAAAAAGCCTTTATCATCCTGTAATGATTTGATTAGTTCTATAATATGCAATAAGTATATAAAGTGGGTGAAGATGGGGACAACTATTTGTAAGAAACTAGAGACAGTTAGATAGACAGTGAAGATCTCCAGTGGACTTGCTTTGAAATCTGTATTTCTTTAAATTGTTTTTTTAACTATTTTCTGTTTTGATATGTTTAATCTTACCCTCTTTGAGATGAAAAACAAATGTGTAGGACTGATAACCATATTACTGAGTTTTTGTTCGATCATTGAGCAGAACTGTTTGTAGTGTCACTTTTTGAATGTCATTCTAAATACTTTAATTCTATAACCTGAACAGCTATTTCTAAGATGACAATATGTAACTTATCAACCAGCAATTTCTTACCGTTTGTTCTTCTGTAATTTTGTATTATTTCTACCTTTTTTTATCTCCATGTATCTTTTTGTTTCCTTTTCTTTAAATAAAAAAAATAAAATAAAATTACACTGAGATTCCATTTTATCCCAGAAAGAGTATCTATCATCAAGAAATCAAATAATAACAAATGCTGGTGAAACCATAAGGAAAAATGAAGCCTTCTTTTTTTTTTTTTTTCTTTTGTCTTTTTATAGGTACCGGGGATCAAACTCACGACTGCCTGCTTGCAAGGCAGGCGCTTATGCCACTGAGCTAATCTTCTATATTGTTTGTGGGGATATAAACTAGTACAACAACTATGAAAATCAGTTTACAGGTTTCTTTAAAAACTAAAAATAGAAATCCCATTCAATGCAGCTATTCCCCTTCTAATTATCCACAAATAAAGATGTCATATTACAGTGATACATGCATATCCATGTTTATAGCATCACAACAAGAAACAAACAAACAAATCTTGGAAGTGGCCTATATGTCTATCAACATATAAATTATTAAAGAAAACACAGTAGTTATATACAATGGAGTGTTTCTGCCAGAAAGGAAAATAAATTGGAGTCTTTTGTAGGAAAACTGATACACCTTGAGACAGTAATGTTAGGTGAAATACATCAGGTACACAAACTTAACTATCACTTGGCTTCTCTTGGGGAGAAGGAAGGGGAGAGAGTGGGAAGTAAAAACAACTAAGGTGTATTAAATACATGTACCAACTCCCTACAATAAATATAATCATTATGTACTGTGAACATGTATTAGTAAAAATAAAAATGAAAAAAATCACTCCTAATAATCAATAGTTCCCCTACACTTTATAACTCAGCCCAGGTCACCTCATTTAACCGCTAGATCTTTTCCAAACTCACGGGTTTTAAAGCATTTACTTAAAGTAAGTTACCGCATAAGTTTCTTCCTATCCCCATATTTACTGTAGCCTTTTGTCTTGTGCAATCCTCCTACTCAGGTCGATGTTATTATCCTAATTTCCAGACTCTAGTGGCTTTCTCAGTCTCCCCAGATACCAGCCTCTACCTACTCCCAAAATATCCTGAAAAGACCATCAGACTAATATTTAATTTTCTTACCACAAAACTTAATGTCTACAGCACAAAATGTAAAATATGAAATATAATATTTAATATCTTCAGAAGAGATCCCCAGAGGTCATTTCTTTCCACATGCACACATGCTTTGGCACACCCTGCCCTCCCTAAGTGCCTCACTTCTTCTCACCTGTTCTTCCTATTTTTTAATGTCAGATAAATTCGTGGTCCCCACCTGCAAAAGTCCCATTTGCCTCCTCGCATCTAGAGAAATAATAGTGTGTTGGTACATAATTAGATATTGCCCTATATTATTAAAGTTAAAGAATATGAGCCTTCATTATAAATTAATGAAATTGAGTTCCACAACTTTCATTCAAATCAGTATCACTTCAAGCTATAAAACAGAAGTCAGACTGGCGACTGTAGGCAACACACTGCTTCATACCAGTTTTACGTGGCCATCGTGCATTTTGTATTGAATTTGGCGTTAAGAACTTGCACATCTTTTGGGAGCTGGGTGGGAGAAGTTACACTGGAGTCTATTTCACTCCAGTTCCCCCATATTTACCATTATTCCAAACCTTAAAGTGGCTAACACTGACAAATTCTGGCTGGATCTGAAGAAATTTGAGTTTGCAGTGCTTTCCGAGAGTCACACTTAAACCAGGTCATTGCCCTGGTCACGTTGGGATCTCAGTGCTATACTGAGCACGGAGCAGGAACTTTGTGAATGCAAGTTGAGTGGATCCACAGAAAGCTGCAGAATCAATTTAGCAGTCAGAGCTAGGAGACCATAAGATCCAGTGAACAAGGATGTGACATGCACCTGTGTTGAACTCCCCTTACGCAATGCCAAATGAGCTTTCATGAATACAAATTCCCACCATAACTCCAGTATTTCCAACAATAACACCTACTACTTACAATCTGTTCCTGGAAGTCATCCCACTAAAACAGGTGTGATATTTATCTCAGTTTGAAATACCAACCTAAGTGTCAATTCCTGGAGGAAAAGGAACAGGAAGGTTTATTTTGAAGCAAAGCGAAAGGAGAACTTTCTAAAAATACTATTTACAAACATAATATTCCAATGACAGGAAATAACAGAAAGCACCTCTTGTTGATCTAAACAAGAAGTGGTTAACCTCATTCTAACGGCTGTCAAGAGGCCTCAGATACCCCCCACTCTGAAATGCTAGGTTCAGATTTTTCAAATCCTCACATAAAACTTCCAGAATGGCAAATCCTCACGTAAAAATTTCCAGTATCAGAGATGGTAATGCTTCAGGTAACAATCTATAGGTAGAAGAAAGTGGTAGAGAAACCATGACAGACAGACCAGGATTTAAAACTGGCATTAACATTTGTTTTGCTGAGCCTTAGTATCCTTACCCTAAGGCTCAGATGTTTTCCTTAAACAATTAAATAAAAACAGCTAAAGCTCACTGAGAGCTCGTTTTATGCCAGGCACTGATTTAATGTGTTTTTTAGATGTGTCATCCATCCACAGTGACATTATGAGCAGACATTTTCATCTCCTATTACCTCCATTTTCCACATAAGGAAACTGGGGCACAAAGAAGTTAAATTTGCTGAAGGCCTTCAGCCTATAAGTAGCAAAACCAAGTTCTTTTTTTTTGGCTTTTCTTGGCTTTTTTTCATTTTTACCGGTACCAGGGATCAAACTCACGACTGCCTGCTTTCAAGGCAGGTGCTTAATGCCGCTGAGCTAAATCCCCAGCCCCACAAAACCAAGTTTTAAATCTAGGTGTATGCATGTAGAAGTTTAGGAGTCTAACTAAAGACTCAGCAGGGAACCAGGGTCCTTACTTTTAAACATCCTCAGCCTGTGCAAAAGGAAGGCAAGGAGATTTTGTGAGTGCTACATCTACCCTGGGAGTGGAGAACGGTAGCCTGCTTACGATATAAGAGAGAAGAGGCTTGTTTCCCCATCCTTTCGCTTTTGCTGTGTTCTGCCACCCTGAAGTGTCGTTCCTGTGCCTTGCGACCCTGCCTTGGAGCTAGCTGATTATGGACTGAAACTGCCTCAAACTGTGAGCTAAATAAACTTTTCCTTCCTTTTGGGTGTCAGGGGGCTGGGGATTTAGCTCAGCGGCATAAGCACTTGCTTTGCAAGCAGGCGGTCGTGAGTTTGATACCCGGTACCGGTTAAAAAAATCTGGTATTTTGTCTCAGCAATGAAAGAAAACAAATCCACACAGTGTTCTTGCTTAGTCTTCACGATGATACTGCAATGTTCCTGCGAAGCAGTGAATAAAGCACCTCGCACACTGGAACACCAAACAAAGCAGTGAGTAAAAGACAGGAGGCTGTAGGGGGAGGAAGGAAGAATGAACCTTTACCCCATTTCTTTTCTGGAATTCTAGGTCCCTCAAAAGTAGATGACAAGGTCTTTAAAAGATCATGACTCTCTAAGTCCCCCCAAAATTTCCTTTGTCCTGGTGCCATCTACAGAAAAATCTAAGACAAATTACCCTTTACACCCACTCAGGCTAAGCAGGGCATTCGATGACCCATATAGGCTGGTTCAAAAATACCCCCAGACAAACTAACCGAAGAGCGAGACCTCCCAACAGGTCTTTCTCAACTCCCTTACCTTAAAAAAAAAACTCACTTTCTTGCTGGAGTTTACCTACACTCTACTGCATCTGAGAAAATTCCTAACGGTGTGTGTCAGGGGCCTAGAAGTTTTTTAATCCTCCTCACTATTTCTGGACCAAGCCCCTCAGATTTCCCAATATTGAGATAAATATACCCAATGCCTTCACATGACCCTCCCACACCTACAAAGCAATCTGAACTTCTTATCTGTTCTGTAGGGGTGAGCATGGTCTTAACAGAAAAGGAAAAGCTGCATAGTCACCACAAAGCCACAGACAGTATGAGTCCCCAGAGGGGACTTAGGAATATGTGAGGATGGGCAATATTATACTACGGGCTACAAGGTACTTTAGAAATAAAGATAATAAATAAAGAAAGATAACACAAACAAAATAAATACAGGAGATGCTTATGGATCTCTCCTAAAGATTTTCCAAGGGGAAACATAGCCTGGGAACTTCCCTACTCTGAAAAGGCTCTGTCAATCCAGCCATCCTGAAAAGAATTTATTTGCACCAAAAAAAGAGCTTTTCTCTTACACAAGTTCCTGTTTGAGCCAAACTCCCTAGTTCTGAAGGTGGACTGAGCATATGTTCTGTCCTCCAATAAACAAAGTAAAATTTATGGCCATAATTTTGTACCCCCAACCAAGTGTGCAGAATGGAAGGATCCCAGGCCCAAAGAGCAGAAAGTTTCAGCTCTTATCATTGTTGGCAGGATTCCCAGTACAGGGGGGTCCCCTCCAAGATCCAAACATCCCCAAATTGGGATGGCTCTCCTCATCAGGTAGAACAGCAGTCCTACCTGGCAAAACAAGCAGATTTGTTGGTCACAGGTGACAGAGGGCATCTCCTGGTCCTCAGTGATCAGTGTGCAGCAGCTGCTCAGTCCAAGAAATTAAAAGCCACGGAACAATGGGGGACCAGGATGTGCCCAAGACTGAGCCTGGAAGCTCCTCTGAGTGGCTGTTACGAGTCTGTATTGAAAGACTGAAAAACTGATGTGTGATATCCACAGGCCATGGCAGTAGCAAAAGACTCATGCACTCAAGAATAGAGCTTTACAAACACACGCACTAGCTTACTTTTCCTTTCCCTTATATTTCATCTAGGCTACAGGACTATTGATTGGTGCTACCCACAATCAAGGTGAGTCTTCCCCCATTGGTTTGCTGGCCTACATGTCACTCATCTCTGAAACACCCACAGAACAAACCTAGAAGTATCCTTTACTACTCAGGTAGGCCTTTCCTAATCCAAGTTGACATACCACAATTAATGGTTATACTTAGGCTACCCTCGAGAGAGAGGTCAGAGGACCTCTTTAATGGAACTAATAGAATGGAATTATGGGCATTCTGAAAACAGTCTGGGATTCAGGGGTTACACTGTACTCATACACAAAACACATCAAGCTTCTCAAATTATACACTTAAAACCAACCACTTCTTTTATATCAAACATGTCATTCACACTCTCCTTTTAAATCTCTTTTACAATTCAAGACCTACAGGATTCAAATCATCTGGTAACCTAAAGAAATGGCTTCACTGTACAGCAGCTTTTGTTTAGAGAGCTCAGGTTCCACATAAGAGATTTTCCAGGATCCTCTGCAAACCAAAACCCTGTGAAACAGCTCATAAAACATGGTCCAGGGTTTGACAGATCTGCAACTATGAAACTCAAGAAAAAAATTATAAACAGAAACAAGACAGGGGGAAATGCTTTTTTATTATGTTTAATGACAAAGAACTTCCCACATGATCCAAACCCCAATACTCCACAAAATTATTCATTCTATTACATATTCCAAAATCAAAGTACCTCAACTGTAATTCTGGGCCCAATATAACTCCTCACACTTAAATAATTCTTGAGAATTAAAAAATTAAGATGTAAATAATTAGTAGAGCATGGTAACATATGCTTGTAATCCCATATCCCAGAAGGCCAAGGCAGCAAAACTGCAAGTTCAAGCCCAGCCTGGGCAACTTAATAACTTAGAAAGACCTTGTCTAAAATTTAATAGAAAATTAAAGAGGCTGGACATACTGCTCCTGTGCAAAAAGCCCTGGGTTCATTTCCTAGTATCACACACACACACACACACACACACACACACACACACACGCACCAAATAAAACAACAGAAATGGCAGATCAGAAAGTAAGAAAAAAATCATGGCTTGATGAGGAAAAAAATGATTTGGAATAAAAGTGGGCATTTAAACTCTTATTAAATTAAGGAGTTATGCTCAACTCATTTCAAAAAATGAAAGCTGATATGTTCTTCAAAGTTCATATACTGGAAATTCAATCTCCAGTGCTGATTAGCTTACGAGGTGATTAGGTTACCTCTTGGGTGAATGGATTAATAGTTATCCTGGAAATGAGTTAGCTATCCCAGGAGGGATTCCTAATGAGATGATGAGCTCAGCTCCCCCTTCCTTTCTCCCTCTCTTGCTTTTCCACCAGAATATGGTGCAACTTGCAGGCCCTCACCAGATATTGTCCCTCAGCCTTGGATTTTCCAGCCTCCAGAATTGTAAGCCCAATAAACTTCTATTTTTTTATAGATGAATGCTGAACGTCCCTCTGTATACTTTAACAATAATAGAAATAAAATATGAACTCATTAGAACTTATTTCTTTCAGCTGGTTATATCAAGTAGAACTCTTCAGACAACTACTGTGGCCTTAATGTAACATTTACTTTTTAGTTTTGATGACAATTTAGAGGTAACATCTAAACAACAAATTAGCAACTACAGATTCAGAGACATCAGAATATTTACAAGTGCATGTAATTTAGGCTTGTAGTCTCTGCTTAATTTGTTCTCTCTGCTTCCATAGGTGAAATGCTTATTATAATATACACTTTTATTTGGCTAAAATTCTGAGAAGAATACAAATGAGTTTGTTTTAGAAGTTATTCTGCTTTAATTTTTTATTTTGCCTTCCCAATTTACCCAACAAACCAATTCCTGTGCTCTTAAAGAGTAAAGAAACCTGTGTTTTCTAAATATTAAAAGGATTTTATATCTTCATCTATTTAGGATGCTATAGCAAAATACCATAAACTGGGTAGCTTACAAACAAAAGAAATTTATCTCTCATAGTTCTGGAGGTCAGAAGTCTAAGGTCAAGTTACCAGCAAGTTCAGAATCTGCCAAGAGCCGTCTTTCTGTTCACAAATATTCCATCCATCTCACTGCATTTTCACATGATGGAATGGGCCACTCCCTTGGGCTGTTTTATATGGCACTAACGCCATTTATGAGGCCTCCACCCTCATGACCTAGTCACCTCCCCAAAAGCCCCACTTTCTTGTATTTTTTAAGGAAAACACAAATATTCAAACCACAGCAAGCATGGTAGAGAAGGTGTGAAAGTCTATAGTGTGAAGGAAAAACAAAGATTTCCATTTCTAGGCCCCCTCTTCCCTAGTTCTGTGTCAGTGGAAACAGAGGTACTTCTAGCTCTCCTTCCTCTCATCATCTTCCTTTTCCTCCTCCCTTAAACTGCCACATTTCATAAAAGCAGTCCATTAATTCACTTAAAAAGCTTATTTTAGCAGTACTTTCTATAAAACTTATTTACTTAGCTCTTTTAGGGAAATATTTGGAAAACATTTGTTCTTCATCTTAATTTATTAAGAATTGCTAGAATAGGGGCTGGGGATTTAGCTCAGCAGCATAAGCGCCTGCCTTGCAAGCAGGTAGTCGTGAGTTCGATCCCTAGTACTGACAGAATAAAGGGTGGGGAACAGAAGTAATCTGAACTATAATACAAAGAAACTGGCCTCATCTTATAATTTATCACAGAAATCAACCTTTAAAATAAATTCTAAATTCTCTACATATAATGTTCTTTTCTTAGTTTTAAGAGGCCTTCATATAAAGTAAGCAAAAAACTAAAAAAAAATCATATTGACTGTCTTTAACTGGAGAATTTATCAAGTTATTCCTCTAAATAGTAACTTCTAGTGCATATAAAAATTTAGGTTGGGAAGGAAGGAAGAGAAGGAAAAGAACAGAAAGCAAAGAAAGAGGGGGTCAGACTTTTCAAGAACAAAACCATGACCAAAAATGCAGAACAGCTGAAAAAGCATCTTGACATTTTTGTTAGAATACTAAAAAGTGCTTTCCAAATGGAAAAGCATCTGTCACTCAACTACTATTATTTTCTATTTCATGCTCAAAACAACATACAAACAAAATAAAACACAAATTTCCAGATGACGAGAAAATGTGAGCCCCAAGCAGCCACACTTTAATCAACAACTCTTACCTGGGCACAAAAGACTGAGTACAGGGTTTGATTTAAAGGGGGTTAGACACCAGTAATTCAATACAGACAACAAAGATCACTGTTCATTTCTCCAAGGATATGTAATTGTCTCCATGGATGGGCTTTTGATGATCCTCTTCCAGCTTTCATTCATTTTCCCCTGCAAAATTTGAAACATCACATGTAACATGTGGAACTGAGAAAATAGTGAAAAATCAAGACAACCAAAGAGAAAAAAGATGATTTCATACTACTCTAATCTTGGCGTTTTGCCATACCTTGGGGTCACTTGGTTTTAGAGCCTCTTCTCCTAGATTTCCAGTGCTGAGAAAAGCAAGTTATTTGACCTCTCTGTATGAGGATGATGATACTCAGAGTTACCCACTCTCGGTATTATTGCAAGGAGTTCTTACAGTCCTTGGAACATAGCAAATGTGCCCAAACCTGCTAGGTATTACTGAACTGAACTGTTAAACATGTCCCTATCAATTACGTTCTACAGAACAACCACTGTGGACCATGGACAGGATCAAGTCTGGAATTGGGAGATGTTCCAAATTCCTCATCCTGAAGAAATGCACAGGAAAATGCAGAGATTTTCAATCTTAAATGTGCTCCTAAAGAACTCTTATTTAAAAAAACCAATGGCCGGCACCATTTGCAGAGAGTTAAAATAAATTCCTCTGGAATGGAGAAAAATTTTTAAACTTCCGCAGGTGATTTTAGGGGAACTGCTGACCCAGGAATTTGCCTTATGAACTGCATGCATGGTCACTGCTATATGGTCTGTTGGATTCTGATGGGACGAAGAGCTCCTGGGATGAGGTGAGGTGCATAGTTGTCCACTGTGTTAAGTAACACTCCTGAGAAACTGGTAAACAAATCGGGGGAGGGGTGGTCCTTGGCTCTACCAAATGAGGATGACCTGTTTTCAGTCTTGGTTGTGACAGAGGTATAGGGCCCCCTGTGAGACAAAGCAAAATGGCTGCTTCCCAGTGGAGAAAGGTGAGATCAAAAGCCATACCAGTCACTGTCTTAGCAGCTCGAGGTCTAACAAAATATGGCAGGTTCAGAAAGCAGCACTTCAACGAATTTTTGTCCTTTACTTTTACTTTTCTTGGTATATTTCTTTCTTGCTGCTCTCAAATTTTAGAACAGGTTTGGGGCTACAATTCTTGTCTGTGTCGGAGTAATTCTGGCCTGAGTTCCTCAGTGACCATCAGGGGAAGGCATAGCAAGAGGACAGGAATGAGAACTTCCAGGAAAGGTCTACGAGAATACTGCAAACCACTGGGTGGGGACTCTGGTCACACAGGAAATCCGTTTTTCAAGAAATAATTTCACTTTTGTCCCCCCTTATCTTACCCATGTTGAAGTTCAACACAATCTGGCGTTGGGTATTTACATGGGTCACATTGTACACAGCAATCTAGTTAAAGCCTAGGTGATTATTTTTACAACCAGAAATTAAGTGGCTCAGAATCCATCTTTTAATCTATCAAGCAGTATGTTTTGAGGTAGAAGCCTGTAGAACAGGCAGTGACTGAGTTGTCTTCCACATTTCTGTGTCCTGGCTAGCCCTGGCGCAAGGCAATTTGTGTACTGTAGCATGAGTGAACCTCAAATCAATCTTGTAGGTGCCTGACTATAATGAAAGCCCAAAATCTCATCTCATATTCCTTTGCTGTTTACAAAGACTCGTAATTATTTTGATGGTGCTAGAGTGAGGACTATACAGTCTCATACCATAGGATCCTAGCAGGAGACATAAGAGGCCAATGTCCTCAAACTGTGGTTGGGGGGAAAAGGGTAATCACTTACACACCTGCTGTCTATCCTCAGGGTTCTCCTGTCACACACCCTAACTTTGGAGAGGCCACAGTGTCAGTGGTTAACAGCATAGGTTCTGAAGCCTCCTTGCACAAGCTTATTCTCAGCTGTTATTAACCAGACATATCTCTTTGTGCTATCTAACCTCTCTGTACCTCAACTTCCCACCTGTAAAATGAAACTCATGATAGAACCCATTTCATAGGGCTGCTGTGTGAATTAAGTATGAACTCATTTAGTATATGTGAAGTATTTGGACCAGCTCTTGGCACTAAGTAAGCATGCAATAAGGAAGGGTTAAGAGCATTGTTAGCAAAATGGTAGAATAGAAGCTCCAGCTATGTTCTGGCCCCAGAAATCCAATTTACCACTACCTGCAGGCAAGAATGCCACCCTAGAAAGAACAGCAGTTATTATTCTGGGCCTGATTTAGGAAGAGAACACAACAGTTAAGAAACGGTGATATCTCCACAATATGGTAATTGCTTTACATCCAAATCGTACAATTGTTTTGTTTCCTCATTCAGCATTCACTTGTAAGATATACGTACCATATGAAGCATATGTCTTCTGACTCTGTTGCCTTAGATGATAATGGAGAGTCAAGTAATACACAGACAGTGGCAGTGTGAGGACGGGAAGACAAGTTCTCACACAGGCCACACACCTTAAGACTAAAAAGTTAAGTAGGATTCTTTTTATGGTGCTAAACACTGAATATAAAGTAGCAAGCCTCAGACAGTAAGTCCCTGATCTCATGAAGGTTTCATTCTAGTAGAAGAGATGGATTTTAAGCAATAATAAAGAGCATCATACTTGGTGAGAGAAAAGTGCAGAGTGCTAAATTATAGATGATGGATGAAGAGGAACTGTCATAGGGAGTCATGAGGCCTGAGGGCAAACAGAAGTTACGCAGCATCATGAAGATGTATTCTAGACACACACAAAAACCAATGTATGCAAATACCATAAGGCAGAAAGAACTTTTGTTTAAGGAGCTGAAGGAAGTCCAAGGGTCCCTCAGATAAAGACTGAGGGAAGACAGGGACGACAGGAGGCAGCAGAGCTGACAGACACATGCACTGTCATTTTACTAAGTAAAGGAAAAAACACACTTTGTAGGTCTCCTCTGTATCTCCTGTCCACCACATTTTTAGCCCTTCCACTGATAACAAGAAACTTAAATTCTCTTAGCAAATCAAGGTAAGAAGCACTTACGCTGCTTACTTACATAAGACAGGAGTTAAAAATATCCCTCTTCATGCTGTGGGTATTTCTTCAGAGGGTGGTTTGGTCTCTCAAGGATGTAAGTTTCTTCAGAGTTAGATTCTTCCTATAACAAAAACATCCAGCAATTGCATTGCCCATGATGTAATGGAGATCAGTAATATCCAGGTGAGTAGCTCTTTGTGTATATGAGGATTGTACTTCCCATATGAATATATGTGAGAGTTCTTATATATGGATATAGACTTCTCTCCCTTCTTTTTTTCCTTCCTTCCTTCCTTCCTTCTTCCCTTCCTTCCTTCCTTCCTTCTGTCCTCCCCCCTCCCTACCTTTGTTTCATTCGTTCTTTCATTTTAAAGATATTCCTTTACTTGGAAGAGAAAATACTCCTGTATGATAACCAATATTCATTTAGAAGTGTCATTCTATAAATCTAGCATATGTCATTATTTAATTATAAGTCAAAATGACCAACTCAACTACATGGCACGGTTAAATGTTAACCTTTCATTTTAATTCTTTTGAATTAAGTTAGAGGTCACTTAGCTGTGTGTCTGTCACGGACACAAAGTATTGGATATATCTATTGCTGGATTAGGATTACTTCCCAAATTCCAATAAAAGTCAAACAGCCAAACCACCAATTTAAATTTTAGGAAAAAATAAATAAATTTAGGAAAACACTCTTCAATGTTTGGGCATTACTCAAATCATATTCTTCTCTGGTCTAGGATTCCCATGCATACGGGAAGGGAAAGTGACACAGGCCACTTTGAAATGATCCCATGCTAGGACCCCTGCCTGGCAAATGCTGCATACCACATTAGCTGCTGCTCAGCCCTCCAATCTAAGATCTTCTCTTTCCCAAGGAGCCCACCCACTCAAATACCCCTCCATACTGTCATGGTTCTATCTAGATGGGCTTATAGGTGGAATTTTGGGGGGTGGCCGGATCCTAGGGGCTTGATATTTATGAGCGGATTAGTCTGCTCAGAACTGTGTGTGATGTTGGTAGATGAAGCCTCTCATAAAAGGTGGGTCACTGTGAGCACAGCATTGAAGGGTATACATGTCTCCCTTGGTCCCGTGGTGCTTCCTGCCTGGCATGCATGGATTGTTCCTCCTATGCCATGCCACACTGCCTTGGAACCAGCCCACTATGCACTCAAACCTCTATGAATTAGGAACCAAAATAAATCTTCCCTTCTTTAACTTGTGGATGTCAGATATTTTGTCACAACTAAGATATGCACACTCTTAGAACACCACATACTCTCATTGGTAACTGTAACAACTTTACATTTGTTTCTGCATTTACTTCACGAGTGTCTGCCTCACCTACTAGACTGCAAGTTCCAGTTCCAAACTGCTTCATCAACAAAGATTTTTATCAGAAACCCTAACCTTTGGGTGCTGCTGAACTCTGTGAGACATCAGAAGATCACATACCCTTTCCTGGATCTTCTTCCATGTGGACTCAGAACTCACATAGCACCTGTTCAACAAATTGAATGCCACAATGTATTATGCAGCTACTAAATGTATGCATAGTGTATGTAAGCATTGATGCTTAAAATTTCATCATAAGAAAAACAACAGCATGCAACATGGAACATATAGTGTGAACTCAAGTCTTTATTAGCCCCATGCATAAGAAAAGCACTGGGGAATAAAAATAACCAACATGTTTAAAATGGTTTGTGTTTGGGTGTTGGCTATGAGCTACTCTTTTCTTTGGACCCTCCTGTGTTTTTTCAGCTGTTTTTCTAATGAATAAATCTCGCTGTCACATGAAAATTTTTAATCCTTAAATTTTCATATAAAATTTCATGAAGGTTGTATTTTGTATCTCATTTACTTTAAGCCAGCTGGAGCCCAAACCTTAACCAGGATTTTCTTCCTCCCACAGGCACTGCTAAGACCACTCTCTCTACCTGTAACACTGCCACTTCCCAAACTCTAGCCCTACTCTCATTAACTCCTACTCACCTCTCAGGGCTCAGTTTAATTGCTAATTTCTCAGGAAAGTCCGTCCTGAGTCCTTAACTGAACGCGTCAGCTAACTGCTCAACCGCATTTGGAATTACATTTACCTATACCTCAATCATAGTATTTCTGTCAGTGGAAATTTTGGCATCACTTGGTTAATATATGTCTGAAATTGAGGCTAAGGCTCTTTGGCTAATAGTTTATCCTAGAGTAGAGCTGGAATTGACTACCACAATGGTATTTAAAGCTATTTCTTGAGTAGTGAATTTATTCATCCATTCATTTGTATTCAGGGGAGAGGTGAAAACCAAATCCTAAATTCTGAGGTATAACTAATATTAAAATGTACATAGCAATTTGTTAATGAAAAGAGCAGATCCTGTATCCTTAAAATGCCTACAAAATTTTAATAAGTCAGAAGAAAAACCATTATCTGCTATTAGTGTATAACAAACATTGGAAATGACAGGAGCATTGGGAATTATTGTTATTATGACTACCGAACTAGTGCCCCACTATGTGGCTGCCCCTCTCCATGATTCTGGTCCCATCCGTCTTCCTATCACAGCTGTCTATAGCAAGCATGTTCCACTGATTTCCAGGGAGACCAAAAATAGGTCCAGCTCTACACAAATCCATTATCCACCTAGGAAAAGAACTCAGCAAAATGAAGGTGTCCCCTAAAGCACCATTATGCTTAAGAACAGGTCACATATATCATTTCTATACCCCTCTAGGAATGTCTAAGAATATAAAAATATTTTGAAGTGACAAATAAAAGTATTTACAGAGAATACCAAAGCAATTTCTACATTTGAAGGCAATGTAAATGCACATATTTGCATATACTGTAAATGTATCATCTGCAAGATATGCACTATCTAGTCTACATTTGAGAACCTATTCTTTGAACAAGATGGGCCAACACACATGAGCAGTGCTGGATCTTCATTATAGTGTCTCCACATGATTCACCTTCTCGTCGTGCAGAAGGAAGAAGACAGATGTGTGACGAAGTACATGTCACTGTCCAAACAGGGGAGATGAGGAGCAGGCTTGAGTGTTCCTCCCTCCCCTGGGACTACCACTTTCTCTGATAAAGGTCTGCTAAAGGACTTCGTATTTCTTCCTTAAAATTTTGGGCTTCAAAATTTGTCTCCCAATTTATCTCTGTCCCCTTGGCCTTAAAGACTTCAAAATCAAGCTAGTAGAATCTCAAGGGTGCTTCTGAGGCACCCATGTGATCTGGGCACACAGACTAGTCCTGATGATGCTGATATAAAAAGAACAGAAGAGTGGAAAACTCCAGTGTTCCAGAAGCCTGCCTTGGTTATCACTCCAAAGTCGATGGGGAATGAAATCTTCCTCAGGCATATAAAGGGCATGTTCTTCATTTAAAACAGCTGTCTTAAATATAGTATCCCTGAGGCTACTGCTCTGGAGTTAAAATTCTTGATCTGCCCAGGACCCAGGGGCTTCCCAGGGCTTTTTGGGATGAAACCCAGGCAGCAATGGGGTATGTTAATCTTCATCATAGTGAATCATGGCCTTATTTATAAACTCATAGTCCAGAGTAAGTCCAAGGTTATCATTTAAAGTGACTATTAAAAAGAGTAACTTTGAGCACACAGCATCTGCTGTCTCATCAGAGATAACAATAAGTCACACGTTTGCAATCAGAATCATGTTCCTAAAACTATCTGTGCCAGATTATGGGACTAAACTTTCAAAGCCCCTCATTTCCTTCTAAGCAAACTCCTCAGCTTGGCTTCCACAGTCCCTCCTGACTCTTTGCCCTGGCACCCACTATTCCCCCAAATCCATCCGACTACAGGCAGCTGACTCTACCCTGCCTCCTTACTTCTCATCCCTCACCTCCACTAATTCTATCACAAATCAATCTCCTCTCTCCAGGGCTCATAAAAATTGTCACCTCCTCCACAAAACATGCCAGAAGAGCCATCCTCTGTTACACTCCAATGCACTTATCCACACTATTCAAGCAGCACTGCCCTACAGAAAGCTGTTTGTGTACCTGGTTTCCCTCACCCTCCGCTGAGTTGCATATTCTCAAGAAATCAGGAGAAACGTGTTAATGTGCTCCTGTTTCAGGTTTTGCAGACTGATTATCAAGCCTCTTCTAAGACACATTTTTAACCATGGAGGATCCACACTCACTCACACACAATTCCAATCCCAATTGATTTTGACTCCATAAATATGAAGCAATTTTTCTGCCAACCAGTGTTGACAATCACCTATGTACCACTTAAAGACACACATGAAAGGCTGGATGAATGGATGCATAAACCACTGGACAGATTTAAGGAGAAAAGAGATCTTCGCAGACCTCCCTTCTGATGGAATTACTCTCCGGCGGCACTTCCTTCTACATTTAGGATGTACTTCTGTTGAGTGCATATCATAATCCATTTGATATTTAGTGGGATGAGGTTATGTTAACCTTCTTATCTAGTAAGTCCCTGAACAGCAAGACTTGATAGTGCACCCTGCACATAATAGCTGCCCAATAAGTGCACAGTCAATTTAGTGTCTTGTAAAAGTTTGCTGTACTCTTTCTAAGGAGTTTGAAGACTGGGCTTTTCCCAGTTCTGTGGCAGAAAGATAAACCTTTGATCATTTCACATTTTAAAGATGAGGAAACTGAAATCTAAAAGGTCGAATATCTGTATGAGATCATACAGCACTTAAGAAACAGATGAGTACTAGATCCCCAATCTCCCAGTCACGACCAGTTGAGGATTCTTTCCACTCCTTCTTTAAAATCAGTTCACTCTAAGTCTTTGAATCCAGAATAATCTCCCCTAATTTTCCAACCTGCTGAGTTCCAAGCTGGTAGCAAAACCATAAGCCAGGAGGGGACAGAGACCAGGCACAGAGGTTATAAATACATTCCAGATCACTTTTCTCTGTGTGTCAAAGGTGATTTTTTAAAATCTATGTTGCATTATTTTCCAGTAAAGTAAAATGATCAAAAATTCACCATAAATTAATATTTTATTGAAATACTTAATCAGGTTTCTGCAGGTGAGTTAACATTTCGATATAGTTATCCTATTAATTCTGAAAAACATTAAAAATGGATTGCCACCTTCTAAATCTACCTCAAAATATAACTTCTATTAATATTACAAGGCAATTTTGGTTCGAGGACATATTTATGAGACCCTTTGTAAATAACTACATTATTTTGGCCCGGAGACTTATTCTCAACACTAATAATGCAGAGAAATACAGACCAGAACATTTCATTCAAAACATCTGTCTTATTTTCAGTGCCATTCCTGTAGCGTAACGGTAACCACCTATTCTGGTTTGCACAATACTCAGAGTCTTCCAGGAAGAAGGATTTTCAGGGCTAATGTAGGACTCAAGTAAACTGGTTGATTTCCTTATTAGGGAGCATAGTTTGGCAAATAAAGATTTCCGCTCTAGTTCTCTGGCCTGACCTCCAGACAAATGCAAACACATTTTTATCATGTGAGATAACAATATAGACAAACCAAGAAACTATGTCTAGAAAATAAAAATACACTCATATGATAATAACATTTGTCTTTGGATGGCAAGAATATGAGTGAATTTTTCCTACTCCTTTTTGTTGCTCTATAAATTTTCTATAATGAACATCTTTATACCAGTAAAACCAAAAATTTCAGTTTAAAATTTTATGACAGATAAAAGTATGTAAATACTAGATAGATAAGACTATGTATCAGTTAAATGTCTATCATATTTATGACAAATATCCTGAAACATGCTTTCCAGAGAAGAGGTTCAATTTTGACTTTCAGGTATATTTTACAAGAAAGTCATTTTTTTTCATGTCAAGGTTTTGCCAGCTAAATATTCTTAAGCAAACACACTGAAGGAAGGGGCTAGGAATTTAGCTCAGTGGCATAAGGACCTGCCTTGCAAGCAGATGGTCATGAGTTCAATCCCCAGTACCAAAAAAAGAAAAAAACAAACAAAAAAAAAACCACTCTGAAGTGAGGAGGCTTTAGTCCTGCCAGACTATAGTGCTCTCTTCAAGCAAAGAGACAGATGTTTGCTGCTGACCTTTCTCTGAGTAGAGGCTGATCCAGAGGGCTGGGAGATTTGGAATGCTGGCAGTTGGCAAATGAGGTTTCCCGGTGGAAGTCAGCATCCCCTTGGTCACATGGTAAGGACTTGCCAAACTTACTTGAATCTAAAGGTGATGGTGATGCTTTCCTTAATATAATCCGTTCATCGGGCTCTCTGATAACCTGAATGACAATGTACGTTATTCTTTGGTTGTAGTTTTTTGTCTTGTTTTTGCTTTGCTTAATTTAGAGATAGGTATGGGGTAGGAAAAGGAGGAGAAATGGAGGTAAGATGACAGACTATATGCCCCAGGAGTCTCCTGCAAATAAAAGAGGGGCTACAGCACAGAGGACTAGACACAAAATGCTTAGCAGTTGAGGTCAAGGAAAAATAATCAAGAGTCCGTACATTTGGTATATATTACTAAGCTAAATTAAGTCATGCTCTGAGCTTTGATTTCTGAGCATGAAAGATTATTGAGTCTGTGAAAAAAAATTTAGCAAAATATTTAAATACTATGTTACAAGAAGCATAGTATATTCAATTTTCTTATTATATATCTAGTTTCACATTGTATCACTGTAACACTGACAGACCAATCAAACTTCAAGAAAAAGTCATTTACCATCTCTGCAAATATAAGGTGGTCCATTACAGAAAAAGCAATGAAAATTACCAGTGATAAAGTAGGTACTGGGCCTATATATACCCTCGTTGGTAATCTGTCCTACAAATGAAAAGAGGGGAACAAGCCAACAAGCTCTGAAGCAAAGTATATAGTAGGACCTGTACACCTCTTTGCATAAAACCCAGTTAAACTAAAACAATTCCATGCAAACAGGTCTAGCTAGAAATAAATTTTCTGCTGCTGACTGCAGAAGCACAGTAATTGACATATAATAACTGGAAATATATCATTCTATAAGTGCTACTTCTAAAATTACCTTTACGTTTGCTGCAAGGCTGCCAAGAGAAGAAGCTAGAAGAAAGAGGAACAGGTGTTTGAATGACTCATCATGACCAGTTAGCCCTAAAACTGCATTTATTCCATGGCAGTACAAAAATTTTAGACAATGAATGAAATTTTAAAGAACTTCAATACTCCATTGAAAATTACACTATGATTATTAAGTCTCCCTTGGGTCACTCCCCAAATCTGAGTCTTGAGTTTTTCTGTCCTCTTGAGATAAAAAATGAAGTTTTATTTTTAATGATGTCACAGATGGAAGGGGAAAGGGTAAAAGCAAACTTAAAGCAGTAAGTTCAATACCATTAAGCAGACTGACAGCAGAAATAAACTAAATTTGTACAATGTGCCCAGAGTCTAAAAGAAAGCAATGTGAGTCTAATACAAAATTCATACAGTCTGCCTTTTCTGACATTCTTCTTAGGTTCTGTACATTCCTATTTATGCAGTAGCTCTTGAGTATGTTTTCCAAGGTAGACACAGATATTATATTGAGACAAAGAATATGTAAGAGCTTAGGGAAACAAAGTGCAAATATGGAATCATTACCATAAATAATTTTGAGAAGCATCAAGACCTACTACCAAAGAATAGGATGGATCCCTAGAAGGGGAAATAATAAAAACACAGAGAAAGCAGACAAAATTGGGGAAAAATGCTTTTGAAATAAGTATTTGTAAGACAGTATGATTGGGGACGAGGCATTCACAAAGGAATTTTCCTTGTGTCATGGTTTATGTTTGTGTCCCCCAGGCCTCATGAGTTTGCATTGTTCATTTGTGATGGTTCATTGTATAGTGCTTGGATTGATGGTGTCAGTGCTCCACCCATATAGGGGTGGAGCCAGGATGTGATGTAATGGCAGGAAGAAGGTGTGTTTTTTTCTCTTTGCTGGTTTGAGTTTGCTGCTGGCGGCCACCATGAACTGCAGCCCAGCCATGCCTGCCTGTCTTGGAGCCAACTGAGTGTGGACTGAAACCTCCAAAAACTGTAAGAAATAAACCTTTCCTTTCCCAACTTGGGCATCAGGTATTTTGTCTCAGCAACGAGCACAAAGTAACTAAGACAGAAATTTGGTACCGAGGAGTGGGGTCGTTTGCTGTGACTATACCTGGCCATGTTTTTCAAGAGGCTTTGGAAATGGCTTATGGGCGGAATTTGGAAAGGTTTGGACATGTCGCCTGGATGCACAGAGCTGGAGCAGCTTAGGCTGTTCTGTAGAGGAGATTCTGGTCAGAGCTCAAGAGACCAGAAGGCTGATGATAGAAAGCCTGATGGTAAAGACCAGGCTTGGGAGGTTTCTGCTGGAAAGGACTGCATTGGTTGTTGGACTCCACATGATGTATGTTATGGCTTGGCAGAAAGTTTGTCTGCATTTTGCTCCTGCCCAGAGACTTTGCCTGAGACTGACACAAAGGGCAATGGACTGATTAATTTTGAAAAAGAAATTAAAAAGCAATCAAACATTGAGGCTGTGGCATGGCTATTGTTGGGGGCTTTTAGCCAGCTTTATGTTTCAAATCAGGAGCAAAGAGCCCAGCAGGATAATTTCCAATACTGTGAGTTTGGCCCGAAGGAAGATTCCAGGAAGAGTGTGGATTGTAAAGACAGAGTTGAGATTTTGATTCCTGAGGAGAAACAGAGAGATAAGAAAGACGGCCCCGGGGCATCCCAGGAAGCAGGTCCCCACCCTGTGCAGCCTCATAGCAAAGATGAAGAGTGCCATGCTCCAGAATGGCGACAGAGGCCACGTGAGTTTCCAGAATGGAGACAGAGGCCACGTGAGGTTCCAGAATGGCGGCAACACAGAGAAGCTTTTCATCACAATCAGGTAGACAGAGCCCTGTGATCCAGGCAACTGACCCCTACAGCCAAGAGAGAGAGAAAAGCCTGGCTACTGCTTCAGCTAACAGCAAACCTTGGCGGCATCCACAAGGTGCTAATTTTAGGTGCAAGGAAAATGTACTAATTCTGAGGGTTAGACGGCTTCCACCTCGATTGCAAAGGGCCTGGGAGGCCAAGCAGTGTACCCCTGAGAGGGCAATTTGTGCAGATGTAAAGGTGAAGCCAAAGGTGCAGTGGAGACCCCAGAAGTTTGGAAAAGCCAGGAATGTGGATGATCCAAGGGAAGCTGCAAAAAGGGAGCAGAGAAGATTTAAGAGAAAAGCTGCGGGAGTTGAAATCACCAGAAGTGCGCTGGGGGTGGAATCCCCCAAGGCTTTTGGAACTTGCAACCAGATTGCTTCAGATGCTGAGTGTAGAACTCTAGGACTTAATGTTTGCCCTGCTGGATGTTGGAATTGCTTTGTTTCGAATGCTTTCTATTCTCCCGTTTGTAACTTTTGGAATGGTAATGTTTATCTTGTGCCTTTGCATTTCAGAAATGTTTAACCTTGTTTCTTTTGTACAGGGGCTTACAGTTAAGAGTTTGCCATAGATCTTGGAGGAGACTTGGGACTTGGAATTTTCAGCAATGTTGAAGCTGTTAGGACTTTGGCAGCTCTTGGAGGTGGACTAAATGTCTTTTGTATAAAGGATGTACATGAGTCCTGGGGGCCAGGGGTGGAATGTCATGGTTTATGTTTGTGTCCCCCAGGCCTCATGAGTTTGCATTGTTCATTTGTGATGGTTCATTGTATAGTGCTTGGATTGATGGTGTCAGTGCTCCACCCACATAGGGGTGGAGCCAGGATGTGATGTAATGGCAGGAAGAAGGTGTGTCTTTCTTTTTGCTGGTTTGAGTTTGCTGCTGGCGGCCGCCATGAACTGCAGCCCAGCCATGCCTGCCTGTCTTGGAGACAACTGAGTGTGGACTGAAACCTCCAAAAACTGTAAGAAATAAACTTTTCCTTTCCCAACTTTGGGCTTCAGATATTTTGTCTCAGCGACAAGCATAAAGTGACTAAGACACCTTGACTGATGATTCCTCTCTACCCCTGGTAATAAGAAAACAGACATGAAAATGGATTTTTAAGGCCTGGAAATTTTCATATCCTCTGAGTGTACAATAATCTGTGTCCATTTTGTCCCCAGGAGCTCTCTTCTCTCCTACCCGGAGTTGGACAGGGAATCGGCAGGGTTACGTTCTTTGCAGCTATCACCACAAATCTGACCTCTGCCCTGGGACTCCTGGGATTTTGAGAGATCAGTAGCATGGGGGAGTTACTATGGGGAAGTTGGCTCCCTTGCTTCTCAGACCATAGTCACGAGTTTGTAGTTTCAGTGTCATCTGGAAGCTTATTAGAAAAGGATCCTCCCAGGCTCCACCCAATCCTGCTGATCAGAATCTGTAGTTTTACAAAGTCCGTGGATGACTCAACTTTGAGAAGCATAGCTTTATTCTACCTTAGGCCTGATGAATGAGCTGACAGGTGACCTAAGCAAAGGTCTGGCTTGAAACCTATAGAGATTCCAAGGATCTGTGCTCAGAGGTCTGAAAGCCATCTCTAAATACAGGTATGCCAAAAACTTGGTATGTGACTTGTACACAGATTTTTACCTCTCTGGAATCTTAGTTCTTCACCTGAATGGTTAAGAAAAGACAAAGACCAAGCCCAGTGTGATGTATGAGTTCCACTGTGTTCAAATCAGCATTAAGTCCAACTTGTCCTCCCCCAAAAAGGATATTTGATGTCATCTGATTTCACTGTAATAGGAAGGACAATACTTTTACATGCTACATGGGTAATTTTTAATTCACAGAACTCCAATTAAATGTCAAAAGTGATGAAACACTTACTGCTTCAAGTCCTAGACTCTGTCCTAGGTTAGCTGCTTTCAAAGTCACTAAGACCTAAGAACAGTGGCTTAAGTTACTGCAAAAGGGTACTTTGTACCCCTTAGAAGTAAAAATCTGCACACTTAAGTTAGAGAACTCTGTTATAAAGAATGGCACAAATCCAGTCCTATCAGGAGACAAAGGAAAAGAGGCCACCATTATCCATTTCTAGCCTAAGAGTTTTGATTAAGTTCAGGAGGGATAAATTTTGCTGCCATGACCTTATGCCACTATATTAACACATTTACATGTTTCAGTCATAAACCAAAGACCTGCAAGAGAGGCTACACCCCAGGGGCTCAATGTGTGTTCCAGGAACTTCCCCATGGGTCCTCAAAACCTTTCAAGACATCTGCAAGGTCAAAATTGCTTTCATAGTTATACTAACACATTGTGTGACTTTTCACTCTTATTTTCTCATAATCCTAACAAAAGCTACAACAAATCATAACATTCTGATAGCTAAAACTGTACTTGTGCTACTGTATTACATTTTAAAAATTTCTCAGTTTTAATTTCTAACCTGCTCAATATTGATAGACACTATTCACATCAACAGAAACACAAAAATACCTTTAGGGGTCTTCAATAATATTTAAAAGGGTCCTAAAAATCTAAAATTTTGAGATTCCTTGCCTTAGCATAACTGTTTCAGATAGAGTTGGCTTCCCTCCTCTCTGACATAGAATTTTGGGCAGCCAACATTATGTCCCCTGATGGCCATCAATCTCCTGACCATCCATTCAGAAAGATGGCAAACAAAATAATTGTTAATTGTTAACGCTACTTTCCCAAGGAGTTTACCCAAGGTCAGCAGCTGTAAGCTTTCTGGCCCAGCCAGGGGAAAACTGCAAGCATATTGCCCTTTCCAACCATGACACTACGCAGCATAATTCTCCTCACTACGAGGTGAACTCTCCAAGAGCTGGCTTTCCAGCTGCCTCTTTCCCCCGGGAACATCACTGATTGAGAGTCCTTGGGAATTAGCCCAGTTCTCAGCATAATTTGTGATTCCTCAGAATCAAAGATAGTAAGTTCCCATAAAGAAACATACTGAAGTATCAAGAAACTAAAGTACCTCTTCTCATTGAAAATGGAAAGTTTGAAAACTTAGATTTTCTTTTAGATTTCTGTGGGTGAGGCTCACCAAAGGGCTTTGCACTGTCCACCTGAAAGCAAAATAAAGAAACAAGACTTGAATATGTGATAGTATGTAGTACCCTCTCCTCATTACCCACCATGCTTTCTCCTCCTCCCACCACTGTTCAGATCAGAAAAGAGAAGACTGAGAAATAACCTAAATCATAGGTTCCAAGTATGTCACATCTTACACCCAAATGGAGAAGCCATTTATCCTTGTCTTCACTGTGGCATTATTAGACTAGGTCCTGAATTCAATTCCCAGTACAAAAAAAAGAAAAATAAACTACAGTTGGATGCACATTATATTCTAATACTAGTAAAAAAAAAAAAGCACAGAGAGCAAGCAAAGCTCTATTTCACAATTTTCAAAAACAGGACAGGGAAGGAGGGAACTGGGCTGCTAGTGGTGGTGAGTTCTTACACATCAACCCAAGCCTTGGCAGAGTTTAAGATCATCACTCCCAGTGGTCAAGGACCTGCCCAGCTTCCAGCCACACTAGACTAGGCTTGGAAGGTTCTATGGCCTGACCAGATTACATCCAGTGACCTTCTTCATTCAGGGGAGTTGAGAGCACATGAAGTGAGTTCTAGCCCATTGGTCCTTGCCCGGGGAGAGCTTTAGGCCATCATCCACAGTGGCTAGGTGCCTGCCCAGCTTCCTGGAACACTGGAAGTGGCAGGGGAGGGCCTGTGGGCCTGACTAGACCACGCTCAGCAACCTCTATTCAGTCCTAGGAGCCAAGGGCATAGGAGACAATTTCCAACCCGCCCAGGTGAAGCCTTAGAACAACACTTGAAACACAGAAACATAGGAAAATGACAAAATGAAAGACCAAAACGTAATCTCAAAACTCCAGCTCATCCCAAGAAAGCCTAGGGGCCATGTATATAGAAGAAAATATATGCCATACATCTGAAATAATAGCAACTGAAATAAAGAAGCAACTCCGGGAAGCTTTAAAGGAATTCAAACTAGAAATAATCTCAGGTAAAAGAAGAAATGATAAAAGTAATGAAAGAGATGCTGAACTCATCTAAAGAAGACACAGTTAAAAAATTAAAGGAACAAAAAAAAAGATGGAATCCCTGGATGAACAATATAAGAAACAAACAGAATATATGAAGCAGATTCAAAGAGATATACAGGAAACCAAAAATTCCATTGAAAGTTGTCAAAACTGCCACACTGAAAATGAAGATAGAATTTCGGATCTCAAAGACAAGATTGCAGCTAGTGTACAAGAAAGGAAAGATCGTTTAAAAATAACAAGGAATCAAGAAATAACAATTCAACAGCTGCAAGATGATGCAAAGAAAAACAACATGATTGATAGCAATAAGTGAAAAAGAATGATATCAAGAGGCTATATACAGAAGTAATAGCTGAAAATTTCCCAAACATGAGAATAGAAACTGATATACAGATTAGTGAAGCATATAGAACCCCAAAATAGCCATAAACAAAATAAAACTACACCCAGATATATAATAATCACCATCCCAGAAGATCAGAATATTAAAAGCTGTTGGAGAGAAAAGACAGATCACCTATAAAGGAAAATCAGTCAGAATCACAGAAGACTTCTCAATACAAACGATGAATTCAAGAAGAGCATGGACTGAAGTATTTCATATCCTAAAGGAAAATGATTTCCAACCTAGGACTGATGTACCATGCAAAACTGTACTTCAAAATCAATGGAGAAATAAGATTATTCCATGACAAAGAACAGCTAAAGAACTTCATGATCACCAAGCCAACCCTGCAAAGAACACTGAAAAACAGTTTAGATACACATAGGAAAAAAACCACTAAGCAAGGCAGACAATTAAACAGAATGGAAAGATAAAGATGCAACAGCAGAAAGATGACATGTCAAAAATAAACCAATATATAACAGTTATAACCATTAATGTAAATGGTCTCAGTTCACCAATTAAAAGAAAAAGACTGGCCAGAATGGATCAAGAAACAACATCCAACCATATGCTGTCTACAAGAAACCCATCTAACCCAAAAGGAAATTCACAGATTGAAAGTCAAAGGATGGAAAACCATACTTCATGCAACAGGAACTTAAAAAAAAAGTGGGAGTAGCTATTCTGTTTGCAGACAATGTGAACTTCAAACCAAGAATGATCAGAAGAGATAAAGAAGGTCACTACACACTGGTTAGGGGAAAACTTCAAGAGGAAGAGATAACAATCTTAAATATAAACGCACCAATTTCCAGAGCACCCAGTTATGCAAAGCAAGTATTAATAGAAATGAAAAATCAAATAAGAAATAACACAATTATAACAGGAGACCTTAACACACCATTGACACAAAGGAACAGATCAAGCAGACAGAAAATTGCAAAGAAATAACAGAACTGAGTCACACCTGTGAACAAATGGACTTGATAGACATATACAGATTGTTCTATCCAAGAACATCAAAATACACATTCTTCTCAGTAGTACATGGGACATTCTCTAAAATAGACCATATGCTAGCTCACAGAACATATTTAAATAAATGCAAAAGAATTACAATTATTTCATGCATGTTAAAAGATCATAGAGCAGGGGCTGGGGATTTAGCTCAGTGGCATAATTGCCTGTCTTGCAAACAGGCAGTCGTGAGTTTGATCCCTGGTACCGATAAAAAAAAAAAAAAAGAAAGAAAGAAAGCTGAAGAATATTGGGGGCTGGGGATTAAAAAAAAAAGATCATAGAGCAATGAAACTAAAAATTAATGATATAAGAAACTGCAAAAAAACCCCACAAACACATTCAAATTGAATAATACACTCTTGAGCAATCAGTGTGTCACAGGAGAAATTAAAGACATTAAACAATACCTACAAGCAAATGAAAATACAAATACAACTTACTGGAATCTGTGGGATGCAATGAAAGCAGTCCTCAGAGGAAAATTTATTGCACTGAGTTCCCACATCAGGAAAACAGAATGAATACAAATAAACAACCTGATGCTACACCTCAAATATCTAGAAAAAAAAGAGCAAGTCAAGCCCAAAGCCAAAAGAAGGGAGGAAATTATTAAAATCAGAGCAGAAATTAATGCAATAGAGACTAAGAAAACCATCCAAAGAATCAGTGAATCAAAGAGTTGGTTCTTTGAAAGAATAAATAAAATTGATAAGCCTACAGCCAACCTTATTTTTTAAAAAGGAAAGAAAAAGCTCAAATTCATGCAATAAGGAACAAAAAAGGCAAAATCACTACAGACTTTGGAAATACAGAAGATCATCAACACCTATTTCAAAAACTTCTACTCTCATAGGTTCGATAACACAGAAGAAATGGACAGATCCCTAGAAACATATGAAGTACCAAAGCTGGGTCAAGAAGATGTAAAACTGCTGAATAACCCAATTTCTATTAATGAAATTGAAAATGTAATTAAGTCCTTACCTACAAAGAAGAGCCCAGGCCCAGACGGATTCACTGCATAATTCTACAAGAAATACAAAGAAGACTTAATGTCGACACTCTTCAAACTTTTCAATGAAATCAAAAGGGAAGAAATTCTTTCTAAATCATTCCTGGAAGCATATATTACTCTAGTACCAAAACCTGAGAAAGACCCAACTAAAAAAAGAGAACTACAGGCCAATCTCCCTAATGAACACAGATGCAAAAATCATCAATAAAATATTGGCAAACAGGATGCAGAAAATCATCAACAAGATTATACACCACAACCAAGTGGGATTCCTCCCAGACATGCAGAGATGGTTCAGCATATATAAATCAATAAATTTAATCCACCATATCAATAAAACCAAGAGTAAGAATCACATGATCATTTCCATAGATGCAGAAAAAGCTTTTGATAAGGTCCAACACTCATTCGTGATAAGAACCTTACAGAAAATTAGAATAGATGTTCTTTCCTCAATATGATAAAGGCCATCTATGACAAACCAACAGCCAGCATCATATTAAATGGCCAAAAACTGAAGGCCTTTACCTTAAAATCAGGCACAAGACAAGCATGTCCCTTATCACCACTCCTATTTAATATAGTACTAGAAATACTAGCCAGAGAAATTAGACAAGAGAGAGAAATAAAAGGGGTAAAGATAGGAAAAGAGGAAGTTAAATTATCATTATTTGCAGATGACATGATACTCTACATACAAGACTCCCAAAACTCCACTGAAAGACTCCTATATATAATAAATAAATTCAGCAGTGTAGCTGGATATAAAATCAATACTCAAAAATCAATAGCATTCCTATACACTAACAACAAAATCATAGAGAAAGAAATAAGTGAAGCTACACCATTCACATTATCATCCAAAAAAATGAAATTCTTAGGAATTAATCTCACAAAAGAAGTAAAAGATCTATACAGGGAAAATTATAATACACTGAAAAAATAAATTGAAGTCAACCTCAGAAAATGGAAAGACATCCTTTGTTCATGGATAGGAAGAATAAATATTGTGAAAATGGCCATTCTTCCAAAACTGTTATACAGATTAATGCAATTCCAATGAAAATACCATCAACATACCTCATAGATCTAGATAAATCACTCTTAAAATTCATTTGGAACCAGAAGAGACCTAGAATGGCAAAGGCTAAGCAAGGCAGGAGGCATCACAATCCCTGACTTGAAGTTATACTACAAAGCTACTGTAATAAAATCAGCAGGGTACTGGAATAAAAACAGATCTGAAGATCAATGGAATAGATTAGAAGATACAACCACAACTACAAACACACTCAATCACCTTATCTTTGATAAAAGGGCCAAACATGTTCACTGGAAGAACGACAGTCTCTTTAATAAATGGTATTGGAAAAACTGGCTCTCCATATGCTGAAAACTAAAACTAGCCCCATGCCTATCATCATGTACTAAACTAAAATCTAAATGGATCAAAGATCTGAATATTAAAACAGAAACACTAAATCTGTTTGAAGACAAATTAGGTAAAAATCTTGAAGACATAGGAGTAGGTAGAGAATCCATGAACAGGACTCAAACCACACGGGAACTACTCCCCAGAATCAATAACTGGGATCACGTCTTATTAAAAAGTTTCTCCATGTCAAAAGGAGTCTCCAGCATAGTGAAACGAAAACCCACAAACTGGGAAAAAATGTTAGTGAACTGTCCCTCAGACAAAGGATTTCTGTCTAAAACATATAAAGAATTAAAAAAAAATCAGGCCCCCGAAATTCAAAGACCCAATCCAAAAATGGGCATCTGAGATGAATACACATTTCTCAGATGAAGAAATACAAATGGCAAATAAATACATGATAAAATGTTCATCATCATTACTCATTAGAGAAACGTAAATTAAAATCACACTGAGATTCCATCTCACTCCTGAAAGAATGGCCAGGATCAAGGAAACTACCAACAACAAATGCTGGAGAGGCTGTGGGGAAAAAGGAACTCTCCTGCACTGTTGGTGGGAGTGTAGACTGGTGCAACCACTGTGGAGGTCAGTCTGGAGATTTCTCAAAAAGCTGGGATTGGCAGTCTCATTTGTTCCAGCTATTCCACTTCTAGGCATATTTCAGAAGGACTGAAAACATCATATCACAGTGATATATGTGCACCCATGTTTATAGCAGCACAATTTGTAATAGCCAGATCTTGGGAACAACCTAAGTGTCCATCAACTAAGGAATGGATAAAAAATTTGTGGTATTTTTATACAATGGAGTACTACTCAGCTATAAAGAATGATCACATTGAGATATTTATCAATAAATGGACGCAGCTTGAGACCATACCCATGAGTGAAATAAATCAAACTCACATGTGTAAATACCGAATAGTTTCCCTAGTGTAAGAAATGGTAAGAATACATAAAAGTATGTGATAAACATGATTCCCCATTGTATTGCTTTGAAGCCTTATAATGTTTACATTCATTAATTGGAATGGTTTTATCCTGGTTTATTTGATTTTATTATCTGTGATGGTATAAACAGCTATTTTGAAGAAAATAAGACATTATAATAGCCAGTGCTGATTTAATATCATCTTACTCTGAAGTCCTACATGCTTTTGTTCTTCTGTTTCCATTGGTTTTATCATTTTGTATCTTATTGGAGTTTATTATGTGTGATAGTATAAACAAATTTTCTATGGAAGATAATGTAATATAGTAGCCATTGTTCATTCTCTGTTATTTGGTTCTGAATGCCCTGTAATACTTTCATTCTCTTGAATGGTTTTATACTGTTTTGTTATGTTTGATACTATTGTATACGAAGTTATGCCAACTATTTCAAAGAAAGAGACATTATAGTAGTTACTGTTAATTACGGGTTGTCTTGTGGTGAAAAATACTGTGTTGCTTACATTGTTCTGTTCTGATATGCTTTATTATGTCCTCTTTTGTTTTAATCTCTTTAAAATAAAAAAAAATTTTTTTTAAAAACAGGACAGGGTGTCATATTTCTAAACAATATGATCAGTGACAGTAAGTGATTGTCCTGGATGACACCATAGCTTTTCATGACCCCTTCCAGACTGCGTCCATAATCTGGCTTCAAGAAATATGCTGATTTGAACTTACAAGTTTACAAGTCTTTACAACATCAGATCACTTAAATTTTAATGCTTCTACTTTGGGAAACACTATGTATCATCAGGAAATCTGGTTAAATAAAAGAATTAATACATAAAATCACTAATAAAAGAGTTTGGGGGGCTGGGGATTTAGCTCAGTGGCATAAGCGCCTGCCTTGCAAGCAGGCAGTCATGAGTTCAATTCCCAGTACCAATAAAAAGACAAAAAAAAAAAAAAAAAAAAAGAGTTTGGGACATGGCAAAAACTATAAGGATTTGGTAAATAAAACAAATACCAAGTAAGTTTTCATTCTTTAAGACATCTAATCATATTTTAAGGCATCTAATCTTTAAGACATCTAATCATATTTAGTCCATAATGGCAATGGACTATTTTACAAAAATTTACACAGAATGAAATAAATCAGACCATCCAATAAACTCAAGTCAATAATATTTTTATGGAACCACATTTAATGATTGGTAGCTACACTTTTGCCAGATATCTTTACTTAGGCCACAAAGTTCTATATTTGTATATCAATGTATCAATAGTATCTGAAGATAGTTATTTGATAGCTTCTAATCAAAAAGCTCTGTTCTATCTACAAATCAACTTTTTTTAATTTTTCCAGTTAGGGGAGACTGAACGAGGTCTTCATACTGAGCCATCTCCCCACCCACAATGCCCAGGTTGGGCTCCAATTTGTGATCCTCCTGCCACCAGGTCCAGATCTAATCCAGTCTCTATACGCAGTCACCTCAGCAGCACCTTGACTTTGAGACTCATTACACCTCATAGCCTGTTTAAACACACAAACATAACCACTGTTGACTTTAAGTCAAAATACCAACAGCACGCTACCCACAGTTAATATTCTGCAGAGCGAGTTGCTAACTAGAACAACGGAATGGTGTTCATAAAGTGTATAAAATAATATAGAAAATATTCTTAAGTAATATCAACTGGACTATATCAAGAAACTAAATATGTAATATATAATATATAATATATAATATATAATATATATGTTAGTTATAACTTTGTGAGAAAAAAAGCCTATGAATACCCCAAAAAAGGTGAAGAAAATGCATAAAGTTAAATTAAATATTCTATTATGCTGATGAATTTATTTTCTTCAACTTTTCTATATTTTCCATTACTTATGCAGTATAGTAGTAAAAACAATTTTAAAGAGATGGAGCGATCCAGAGTAATTAAATTTGTCCACTACCTCCTGTGAGCTAAATCTAAGATAGCGCTACTTAAGGGCTTTAGTTTGGCATATCATGCTCCTTCCTGCAAAGATATGTTTCCTGCTCTTCAAAGTATGGCCACTGACCACTAATCTCACTACGAAAACTGGAGCAATTTTCTTTTAACTGGTGAAGTTTCAGTCTTTGTAAACATCTTCAACTCCTGGAAATTCCCCAATTCTTCTGAATAATGGTAAGCTATCATATGTGGTCATCACACACCTTTAATAATTTTCATAAACAAAAAATGAGGACAGTTGACATTTACTGAACATGTTCTCTGTATGAAATACCTTTATAGGAGTTTACTCCCTAACATGTGAACATAGTTCAATAACAGTTATTATTCAATTTGAATTCTCTATTTAATATTACTCATTTGTTTTTGTGGTCCAACATTCCAAAGTACTCTGAAAAATATCTGAGACTCACATGTCTAACCACAAATGGAGGCCTCCTTTCTGCAGGGTATTTGAAGTTATTTCCAAGGTTCGATTCAGCTGGCTGGTCCAAGGAGAAATGTCTGGTGCAACGTGGAGAGGGTGCTTGAGATTGCGTGCCTTTGGGTGGTTTGTCAGGATTAACATCCTTCAGCTTCATCTTTCTATTATTTACAGAGAATGCTGGTCGGTATGATGCTGAAAAAGGCCTTCGTGATTTGTATGTTTCTTCCTGAAATCAAAAGAAAAAGGATATTTTTAAATTTAAAAACAATCAGAAATATAGCAATATATAATTGAACTTTTGAAAACTAAGACAGATCAACCATCTGTGGTTTCCATAACATGAATTTAAGGAAGGCATTTCTCTACTCAGTCTTTAATGCAGCTCAACTTAATGCCACGAGTGCTTATAACTTAATAGTATATTATATTTCAATAATAACAGGTTTATTTGTGTTAGGGAAAAGTTAGAAAGTATCACACACACAATGAATGCACAGGTACTAACAAAGAGTCCACACTATTCAAAGAATTTACTATAGTAAATAACTGTGGGTATGCATAAAACAACAGAAATGCTTATGGCAATTTTAACAATTAGAAACCATCTGTTTGGTTGAGTAAGCAGTTGATGCTCAGCTGCAAACCCACCTCAGCTCTATGACAATATTAAGGGAAGGACTCTGCAGACTCCCTTTTCACTTTCCCACTCACTCTGTTAGCACTAAGAAGGAAACTGAGGCTGGCGAGGACAGGACTGGCTACTTCTGCCTCTGCATCGTGTTGGCATCAACCCAGCAACCGCTCTTCCCCGAGGCAGGAATACCCGGTTCCAGCTGAAAGGCCCCCGCCGTGATGCCAGAACCAGCCTTGCTGCTCCCTCGAAGTCACTGCGCCAGGGACACGCTGGCTCCTGCTGCCCACAGGACACTAATGAGAAACACGGGTCCAACCCCACAGGAAAACCGTCCTCCAAGCTGCTGTGCCACCAGCAGTGAGCAGCGCTCTCCTTGGAAGCCAGAGTCCCGGTTTACCAAGTTCCTCTAAATTCCTGAAGAAGCACCAAGAAAGAGCCCCTCCCTCGGGCCTGGGTGCCATTTCTGTGGGGTCTCTTCAACCTCTACACTCTCGGTGACCCAAGCTCTTTCTTCTGTTCCCCAGCCCTCGAGCAAGAAGCTGCTCCTTAAAGGTTTTTCTTCTCCTCCTCCTCCCTTCCTCCTCTTTCTTCTTTCCTGCTTCCTCTCTCTTCCTCCTCTCTCCTCTCCTCTCCTCTCCCCACACCTCCCTCTTCTGCTGCTGCTGATTCTTCTTATTCTTCTTCCACGTTCCTTTCCTCCTCTCCTGCTTTCTTCTTCCTTCTCCTTCTCTTTTCCCTTCCCTTCCTCCCTCTCTCCCTGTCCCCTTCTCCTTCCCTCTCTGCTATGGTCCCACTTTACCTTTCAGTTTTCCAAAATCCCTTTAGCATTTTTTTACACACATAAAATTTTTCTGTTATATCAACAGGTATTGCTTGATTTCCTGACTGAACCCTAGCATATCAGTTGCATGCCCAACAAACAGAAAATGACTGACCTAACAAACCATGGCTTTTCCATATAATACAGTACTATAAATCCACAAAAAACCTTGTGGTTTAAGAATATTTAGGGACATGCAATCTCCCTAATAAATAGAGATGCAAAACTCCTCAATAAGGTATTAGCAAATAGAACACAGCAAATCATCAATAATATTATACTCCATGATCAAGTGAGATTCATCACAGGAATGCAGAGATGGTTCCACATGTGCAAGTCAATAAATGTAATACACCACATCAACAGAGCCAGAGGGAAAAATCACATGATCATCTCAATAGACCGAGAAAAATGTTTTGACAAAGTTCAGTGTTCAATCATGATTTTAAAAAAAACCTACAGAAAATTGGAGTAGATTATCTCAATCTAATAAAAGCCATGCATGACAAATCAACAGCCAACATCATACTAAATGGACAAAAACTGAAAACTTTCAATTTAAAATCAGAAACAAGACAGTATTAGCCAGAGCAATTGGACAAGAGAGAGAAATAAAAGGAATAAGATTAGGAAAGGAAGCAGTTAAATTATCATTATTATGCAGATGACATCATACTTTAAAGAGAAGACCCCAAACTTCCACCAAAAGACTTACAGATTTAATAACCAAATTCAGTAGCATGGCTGAACACAAAATTGATGTTCAAAAGTCAATAGCATTCTTATACACAAACAACAAACTCACAGAGAGAAATTAGGGAAGCAACACCTTTCACAATAGTATCCAAAAATAATGAAATACTTAGAATCAATCTAAAAAAGAAAGTAAAAGATCTATATATCAAATATTACAGTACTCTGAAAAAGGAGATTGAAGAGGATATCAGAAAATGGAAATTCCTTGCTCATGGGATAGAAAGAATCAGCACACTGAAAATGGCCATACTTCCAAAGTTGTTATACAGATTTAATGCAATTCCAATCAAAATGTCATTAACATACCTCGTAGATCTAAAGAAAACATTCCTAAAATTCACTTGGAACCAGAAGAGACCTAGAATCACAAAGGCAACCCTGGGCAACAAAGGGTAGGGGAAGAGGCATCACAATCCCTGACCTGAAGCTACACTACAAAGCTACTGTGACAAAATCAGCATTGTATTCACAGAAACAAAACAAACAAACAAAACAGACCTGAGGATCGCTGGAACAGATTAGAAGATGCAGATACAACTACAAACACATTCAGCAAACTTACTTTGACAAAGGGGCCAAACATGTCCCCTGGAAGAAAGACAGCCTCTTTAACAAGCAGTGCTGGAAAAGCTGACTCTCCACATGCTGAAGACTAAAACTAGCCCCATGCCTATCACCATGCACTGAAGTCCCACTGGATCAAAGATCTAAACATTAAAACAGAAACACTAAATCTAATGGAAAAGAAAGTAGGTAGAAATCCTGAAGACATAAATATAGGCAGAGATTCATGAACAAAATCCAAACTGCATGGGAAATACTTCAAAGAATCAACAACTGGGATCTCATCTTATTAAAAAATTTTTGCACAACAAAAGAAATCACCAACAGAGTGAAGACAATCCACAGTGTAGAAAAAATTTTAGCAACTGTCCCTTAAATAAAAGACTTTTATCTAGAACATATAAACAATTGAGGAAAAAAAAAATAACAGGGTCCCCAACTCAAAGACCCAATCCAAAGATGGCCATCTAAGACGAAGGCACACTTCACAGATGAAGAAATACAAACAGCAAATAAATATAGGAAAAAGTGCTCAACACCACTGATCATCTGAGAAACACAAATTGAAACAATACTGAGATTCTATCTCACTCCACAAGGAATGGCAATCATCAAGAAATCAACCAATGACAAATGCTGGAGGAGGGGTGGGGTAAAAGGAACCCATCTCCACTGTTGGTGGGAATGTAGACTGGTGCAACCACTGTGGAGATGAGTCTGGAGGTTCTTTAAAAACGTGGGATTGGAGGTCCCACTCAATCCAGCTATTCTCCTTCTGGGTATTTTCCCAGAAGAACTGAAAACATCATCCCACAGAGACATATGTGCACCCATGTTTATAACAGCACAATTTGTAATAGCTAAATCTTAGAAACAACCCAAATATCCATCAACCAAAAAATGGATAAAAAAGATGTAGTAATTTTATACAATGGAGTACTATTCAGCCATAAAGAAGGATAAACTTGACACTTTTATAGATAAATAGATATAACTTTAGACCACACTTATAAGTGAAATAAATCAGACTTTCATGTGTAAATATCATATTGTCTCCCTAGTATAAGAAACTGAACAAGTAAATAAGATCCAAAATGTACAACAGATATTGTAAAATGGGAAGAAACTGTTCAAAAGGAAAGAGAAAGCTGGGGATATAGTTCAGTAGCACAGGCCACTGAAGGTATAGTTCCATACGTGGTACCCAAAAAAATGGAAAGAAAACTGGAATAGGAGAAAAAGAAGAAGAGAAAACCATATATATATAGTTCTCTATCATATATATAAATATATATATTTATATATATATATATATGATAGTTCATTGAAAAGAAGGATTTGTGTTTCTATTTTTTGATCCACTTTTCAGGCTCTTTAGTTTGCAATCTGAGCAACTACTTTGAAGATAATATGTGTTAACAATTGTTACTCTCCCATTATCTTGCTTTGAAATTTTATATCATCATTTCCCTTTTTTTTACTTTAAAATTTAAAAAAAATTAATAATACTTAAGGACATGGAAAATGTTCATGACATATTAGAGGTACATAACGATTTGTAGTAATATGATTCCAAAAGGTGTGTTTGCGTTAACAGGATATTAATGTGTACAAAAATTAGTCCTGCTCATCTTTAAATGGTAAAAATGCCAAGCAATCCCTTTATCTTGTCTTTTGTTGCTTACTTGTATTTTCTAAAAATAATATGGTACTTTTGTTATAAGAGAAAAACAAAAATTGTTAATTTAAAAAGATAACAGTTGGGGCCCAGGGATTTAGCTCAGTGGCATAAGTGCCAGCCTCGCAAGCGTGAGGTCGTGAGTCCCATCCCTCGTCCCCTCCCCCTAAAAAGAGAAAAGAAAAGAAAGAAGAGTTAAAAGTTTGGGGATCTATGCTAAGGAAACATTAAAATGGTAGAATGGAAGAGACAAAATAGACCGAAAAGTTACTGTCGTTATAACTGAGTTACCCCAGCTTATCCTCCTCAGCTTTTATTCCCATTTAGCAATATTCCAATAACTCAAATAATAAAGGCAAGCATCTCACAGGTACGCTGGAAATAAGTGACATGTGAAGGTGACGTTGTTTCACTAACAAATTGGAGAGAACAGACATTAAATAAGCACAAATTTAAAAGCATCAAATGTCACCCTTAAAATTATTTACTAGTCTCTCTTTTGAATTCTTACACCAAAAGAACTAACAGACTTGCACAGACTAGCGGCCTTTCTCATTCTGCACTCTTTAACACACAGTCCATATTTTCAGGTATTTGTCTAGGACCACAGGTGAGATCTGGGACAATCATTTGTTTCCCTTATTAATTCTATGCTATCTTGTCCTAAAGTATTTAAAGAAGCTTTACAATGTATCTTTATTCCTTCTCCATCTTGTTCTACAAAGAATTTCAAATGGCTACAAAAATTATATATATATATATATAATATATATATATAATAATTTGTAAAATATACATATACATATATTAAAAGAAAAATCAGCATGATGGGGAATTAGGGTTGAAGAAGAGAATAAAATGAAAGTAGAGTGAATGGATAGCTTTGCTTAACAAAGATGGACCACAAATACAACTCTGAGTGTTAGTTTCAACAAAATAGACAAAAAACACACTATGGTTCATAATATCAATAAAAGTCACAGAACAGGAAACAAAAACAGCCAATAATGTGATTTTTATCATCTGAGTCCCTCTACTGTACTCAACCAGCTAATCCACAACCAGTATTACACACCAGCACACTCACTGAAATGTGATAAGCTGAGTAGAGGATTTGAACAGAAATCAAAGCCTGGCAAAAGCTTTCCAGGTTTCTATTTGTTCATTAGCACCTCAGCTTGATAAACCTGAGTTCATGCTAAAAATCTTGAAATTTGTGGAGAAAATTCTGTTATTTATATCACTGCTTTTTTATTATACTTACAAGAAGTCTTTTTCCATATGGAAACATGCATTCTCTGATGGCCGTCCTTGTAGAAAACTCTAGTTTGGGAGCAATGCCCTAAAAATAAAACAGGGTAACAGAAGCAAATAAAATGATCAGAAATAGTTTTTTTGACCCATCTCATCCTAACTCAAAATCATGCAAGAACCTAATTGTTCTTCTGTGTGGATGACATAATCCACATACTTTCCCTAATACTATGTAAATAAAATAGTAATGGCTAAACACATGCAATATACATTATGTACCAGACCCACACCAAAGCATTTTGACGTATTAGCTCATGTAGTCCTAATACATCCTTGTGAAGTAGGCCCTAGGAAAATCTCCATTCAGACCTGTCCATCTAGTAACGGCAGGGTGGTGATCAGACCCCAGCTCCAGTGCGTTACCATCAGCTACTCTATTCAAAACATGGGACCAAGACATTTAATAAAATCACTTGGAGGGAAGGATGGACAGAAGGTCTCCTTCCCTGCCTAGCTGCTTTGAAAAACCTTGCTTTATATCTTACATAAAATATTTATGTGCATCAGATCTATTTCCAACTCTTCATTTTGATGAACTGATACTTCTATTTTTCATCAGTATCATGCTGTCTAAAAGACTGGTAAGGAACTAAATAAAATAACAGTAATAAAACATGGAAATATAAATAAAAAGTTTTATCATAGTATAAGTAAAAATAAAAAATGGTGGGGGAAAGAAATATAATTACTCAGCTGATATACTGAGAACAGAAATGAGTGGCTTGCCTGAACTGTACATGTAACTCATTCTCACTTCTTATAATATTCATGAAAAGAAATATAATAGTCAGATGAAATAGAGAATTAGCATTGTTCAGCAACTCAAACAGCAAGTACTGCTGTGTGACAGAGCCTTCTATAGGTTCTTTCCACTTATGCCCACAAAATTAAAGAGGCCACTTAAGAAACTACAAGAAAGCATGTTTCTCCTTGTCTTCACACTTAGCTGAAAACCAGCCCAGTGTTTGAAAATGGAACTTAACAGAGAATTTGGGTAAACAAAAGTCATTATAACAGAGTTAGCCCAGGTTTATTCTCATTGATTTTCAATCCCTGTTAGCTTCAGAAAAGCAGTATGCCAATAATTCAAAATAATAAAGGCAAACATCTCACAGGTGCCCTGGAAATAAGTGATACATAAAGATGATGATGAGAGAGAAAATATGTGTCCTACCAAATCCTCCAAGATAAGAGAAGGCTTAAAATTCTAAACATTAGGAATTTTGATTAGGGTAGTATTTGATAAATGTTTGCTGCCTGAAATATCAGAATCAGAAACTGTCGTCACAGGCATCACACAAACAGAGGTTCCAGCTATTTTGAAGAGAAGAGAAGACATTATGGCAGCCATTGTTAATTTTCTTATTCTCTAGTTTTGAAGACCTGCAATGCCTTCATTATCCTGTTCTGGTCAGTATTATACTGTTTTGTTTTGTATGAATTTATTGTGTTGAAGATATAGACAACCATTTATAAGAAAACAAGAGACATTATGATAGTCACTGTAGATTTCCTGTTGTCTTGTTTTGAAATCTGTGTCACTTACATTGTTTTGCTTCTGATCTGTTTGTTCTACTTTATGTTTTATGCTTTTTGAAATAAAAATAAATAAATAGAGGTTCTGCAAAATTATATATTCTTCACAATACTCTCAGCAAAGTGAAGACAATAACATTTCATTAATGTTATCGATAATAACAGTGAACTCATGGGGCAGCAACAGAAAAGTTGACTGTTAAGTGTGCTTTTTATAATTCATAAAGATATGACCCTTAAAATGGAGGGCATCCAAGTAAAATAAAAGTTAAGAAAAGTGTCAGGGTTGCTGCAGAGTTAAAAATCATCAGATAATACCAAAATGAATATTTTGAATTTGGGCTCAGATAATGCCTCCATCATATGACAGTGATATGTCTGTGTTGTACCAGAAACATAGGTTTATAACAGTATAATTTGCAGTAACTAAATCTTGAAAATGGCCTATATATCCATCAACCAATGAATGGATAAATTATACTTGATGGAGTACTACTGTGCCATAAAGAAGGATAAACTTAAAAATACTTTTAGGTAAACTGATGACACTCAAGACCATAACGTTAAGTGAAATAAGTCAGACACACCAGCTTAAATAACACATAGTTTCTTTTATATATGAAGCTCAAAATATAAAGAGCAAAATACAAGACATATCCTAGGAAGTTGAGAGATCTTTTTTCAAATGGGAAGAAAAACAAGAGATGGAGGGAGGAGAGAGGGAAGAAAGAGAAAAAAGAATTAATAAAAGAGAACTAAATAAAAAGAGAGCTTTTGCAAATGGGAAAGCAAACAATTGTTGGAGAGAGCAGGGCGGGGTTATAGGGGAAGGAGACAAAAATGAATTAAGGTGTGTTATTTACATCTAAAAAGCCCCTCACAATATCATCCTGTATGGCAAACATGTACTAATAAAAAATAGAAAGAGAAAGAATAAAGAATTTTTCTACAACCAGAAGGCCAGACAGGCAGGCTCACTTACTGGAAAATCTCTGGTTGTCTTCATGAGCACCTCTCTATGTATACCAGGGCATGAAGGTGTCAGCTTGGGCTCAGGGAAAAGAAAATCTCGTGTGTTGTCTTCATAATAGGCCAGCTCTTCCCACACTAGAAAGGATGGACAAACAGCATAAGGATATGTATCTACATTCCCAAGTTCAACAAAGTAATTTAGACAGATAGACGACAGCAGAGATGGCCCTGTGATCTCAGCACTTGTTAGTCAAGAAAAGTAACTTCTACTACTTTTTATCTTGTGAATATTTTTTTTGAGACAGGCTCTCCCTATGCAGTCCAGGCTGGCTTTGAGCTCAACAGCAATCCTCCTGCCTCGGGCTCTGGAGTACTGGGATTTCAGGCATTGTGACGCCACACTGCCCAGTTACGTTGTGGATAATTTTTAACAGCCTTTTCAAAGTCATAAAGAGAAAAAAATATTTTGCTATATAAAACAAAACAAAAAAGAACATCTGCTTTCATTTATTGATCTACCCATTCTTTCCTTCAATAAATGTTTATCAAGAGTAAGCCATGTGCTAGGCCCTGGGAGTAGGGAAACATGCAGATGACTCTCCTTGACCCTCCTTGAAAAGAAGAGCAACAATCTCCATTTTTAATAAACCTGGCCCTATCTGCACATATTGATATGTACAGAGCTGGCAAGGCTATTTCTTTGTCCCTTCAATTGGCTTTAAGCACTGTAAACTGGGCTAGCTGAGGAGCTGATGTGTAATCTCTGAAGCAAATGACAGGTCGGTGTTATCCCGGCCTCCCAGTAACTCCCCAAATATGTGGTTGAGTCAGGCAGGATGGAGAGCACACAGCTGGGACTGAGCTTCAAGAAAGAGGCTATGACTTCCAGGGCAAAAAGGATTGCACGTTAGAACTGAAGCTCTGACCCCAAATTATCAGACACTACCTCAGCTGGGATATGCAGATTGCTCTCTGCATTTCTTGCCCTCTGCATATCACAGAGGTGATCTCAGACCTACTTAGCCCGGCTCACAGTAGGCAAGGCAGTCACATACTTCCCTCCATTCTCACTGTCACTCATCCCTGAGCCACTCCTCTAATGGAGAATTAATAAAACCCGGGTTGGGCTCTGGGTGTGGCCTTTGTTCCAGTAAACACCATCTTGGCTGGATTTAAGACCCCTTGGCTCCCCATAACTGTATATATGTCTTCATGTCTTTACTCTCGCCTTGGGTTGCACCAGAAGTGGTCGACTGGAATTAATCCCATTAACTTCTCCTTGGGATTACAAATGTAAACCTTCTTGGACTATAACAAGGAAGGGAAAAGGTTCTCTATACCTGGAGACAGAATAGGATTCAGGTTGGCAGAGATTTGTTCACAAAGGCTATGGCATAAACTGGGGTTCAGTGTGTCTGTGATGTGGGATGTGAATGGCCCAGAGAACAGCTGGACCTATGCTTCTCTGTACATTATGGACATCATGGACATCTGTAAGGTCATTCATGGGCAGGAGCTAGAGGAACTAGTGTCTTAAGAATTTAAGCCACTCTTGTACATCAAACATTTTCCTTACCCTGCACAACTTTCTAATATCCTGGCAGATATTCTTTTGGGCTAAAAATCATGTGATGATTAGCTAATTGGAGAATCTAAATGTGTCTCACATATATATGTATAAAGCATATCTGCATGATTTAAAAATACACTGAATTTTCTGGGAACGCAGGTATTGTATAAATTAAAGAATAATTTTACTATTTTTTATCTTTCCTAAGACCTATTTGGAATTTTGAAAATCATGCCACATCTAAATACCTCATTTATGCTCAACCTTTACGTACTAATATGCATACCATTTTATTATAAATCACTTTCTTGTTGGAAAAGTACACTGATTTTTGCAGTGATTTGTATAAGTTGATTATATTAACTATATTATTTCAGAATGGTGAAATGGATACTATGAATTACTCATCACAAAAAAATATCTTTGGTCTAATAGGATAGATGATGAGTCAGCTAAAGGACACCAAAGCTGCCCTCTGAGCCATCTTTGTTAGTGTAGCAGGTGCGACACAAGAAACTTGAACCAACAGTGGCCTATGTTGACAATCAAAAGAGTAATTGTTGCTGATTAAACAGATAGCTTTGTTGTTTGGTGACTTATGAGAATTCCCATGAGGGCACTTTTTATTGATCATGTTTGTTAAAGTAAGTATAGAAAATAACATCAAATGATATGATTAATTTCCTCTTCCTACTAATCCCACTCAATATGAACACCGGGCTTCTAATGAGAAAAGGATCAAAGTACAGGAAGTACGTACTGTATTTTTTGTTCACAATATCACTCTCACTTTAGGAATCTCCACGCCTCTGGAAGGTACTGCCACAGCTTAGGCTACTCTCTCTCTCTCTCTTTCATCCTGTTCATAACCTATTCCTCTTTCAAGTTGCACCCTAAATGTTGTACAGTATGTTCAGCCTTCCAAGTCCAAAGGAGGACTTGTGATCCCCACCCCCACACAAATACAAATCAGTTCTCCCCGGCTTGCCCTGCAGAACTACCAAGCCAAAAATCTAGGATTCATCTTTGATTTTGCTCTTTCACTCTTTACTGATCCACTGGCAAGCTCTACTGACTTTATCTACAAAATAAACCTAAAATCTGACCCCTGCTCTCTCTCTCTTTACAGCTAACACCCTGACCCAGAAAACCACCTCCTGCCTCTGCCCTGGACCACTGCTCTGTGTCCTAGGTGATTCCATTCTCTCTGTATTTAAATCCATTCTCCAAACACTACTTTGTTTTTAAAACATCTGACTATGAATTTTGCCTGCTTAAAACCTTCTAATAAGCTTCCCATCACAGAAGAATAAAATCTAGGCACTTTACCATAGTTTCAGGACTCTATGTAATCTCTATCTCTCCTACCTCATTTATTACCTGTCCCCTGAGTCCTTCCCTTAAATCCCTGCTACCATTCTTGCTGTCGTACAAATACATCAAGTTCACTCTACCTTAAAGAGTGTTGCCCTGAGTTCCTCCTGTAACCTTTCTTCCCTAGATCCTTGAATGGCTGGCTCCCTCCTATCAAATGACAGATGGGGTTTAAATGTCACATTGTCAGAAAATTAGCAGTTCTAAATCTAGGAGCTCTACTTACCTCATCTATTTTAACTTCAAAATAATATTCATCATGATGTTTTCGCTCATGTATGTATGTGTTTATTTATGGCCTGCTTTCATGAATGTTCCATGAATGCACTGATGTTGACTTGTCTGCTTGTTGTTCTCCTGCTGGGACAGCTTTCTAGAAAGGTGTGAACTCAGAACAAGCCTAAAAACATAGTATGCAGTCAAGACAATCCTATCTGAAAAGGGACCATGCTATCAGTATCTGTCACAGGTCCCTTGAAATACCGTTACAGACACACACTTCAGTGTTAAATTTCAATGATGTTCAGAGAAGAGTGCGAGCGTGCAATACCCAGGATGCTTCCTCTAAACCTCTAAAACAGTGCCTGGAGCACAGTGAGTGCGCGATAAATGTAATTCTCGTGTCCATTTATTCACAAGAACATGAGGATTAAACTGAGATCATTTACTGAAGTACCTGCTTACATTAGCCACTCAGCAACCATTAGCTACTGTCCTTGAAAGTCGGTTTCCACAAATATAAAAGGGAAAAAGAGACTGGTAGATTAAAAACTGGTGGTCAACTTAAACACCAGCTGAACTGAATCACGTGGTGCTGAGTGTGGATGGCCCACCTGAGGACCGCTGCCAGCATAAAAAGGAGACCTGGAAAGGAATTGTAGTGCTGTGGGTCCTCTTACATGTTGTTTGAAGCTGTTGGTTCTCCTGGGGGAGCTTGTCATGCTGGCTTCCCTGACATGAACTCAGCTGCTGTCACTGAAGAAGCTTGGGACCTTGTTGTGGAGAATGGCTGTGGTTCACCTTTGGGGGAGTCCTGGTCCCAGCTTCCTAGCTCTGGAGGGGAAGATGTGTGCTGTTCAATCTCCAAGAGAAGCTTGTCACACTGGCTTTCTGGCATGTACTCAACTGTTATTGTCCAAGGAACTCAGGACCTTGTCACTGAGGATAGCTGTCATACTTTTAGGGGGAGCTCTGGTTCTTACTTTGAGCATCGCTTCCTGGCTCCGGTGCAGAACCTCAGCTACTGGCCCAGATCTTTCATCCCACTGGCACAGACTTTCTAGTTTCCTCTACTGACCTTTGGGCCTTCCCAGAGCAGATCCATGAAACAGACTTGCATGAGACATTGTCATGGGCTCTAGGCCTCCAGCTAGACTCTAGACAAGGGAGGTATTGTCATGGGCTCTAGGTTTTCAGCTGAACTCATGCAGGACATTGCCATGGGATCCAGGCCCTCAGCTGGATTCTCTAGATCTTTAGTGTGTGGATGCATTTCCTGCAGTTCTTGATTTGACTCGTGAGGTGACCATTACAAATAATACTATAAATTATTTGTCTTATATGTAATCATTTTCCTTGCAAACCCCTGACTACCACAAACACTAACTATTCTCTAGAATCTTTTTCAAGTTACTCTCAGTTTTTTACTCTTTTGTTTTGTTTTGTTTTGTTTTTGTCTTCCTCAGAGCTGGGGATTGAACCCAGGGTTTTGCACATTGGAGCCAAGGACTCTTACCACTGAGCCACATCCCAAGTCCCTTCTCAGTCATTTTTCAATTGCTTTTAGAAATATTCATTGAGAACCTACTATGTGCCAAGGGTTCCAGACCCTGGAGGTGTACTAGTGAACAAGACGAATATAATTCCTTCCCTCCTGAACTTTGCAATCTACAAATATTAATTAACACATTGGTGCATGCCTATAATACCAGCTATTCGGGAGAAAGGAAGATTGAAATTTTGACTCCAACTTAGTGACATCTTGGCTCAAAGTAAAAAACATAAAAAGGGGCTGGAGATGCAGTTTGTGCTCCCTGGGCTCAGTCTCTGCACCCGCAACACCATACACAAAATAGCACAAACTTCAAAAAATAATTAATACATTTAAAGTTAATACATTAAGGCATTTAAAAATAAATTTATAATTAAAATTGTACGTATCATGAGTGAAAAGCAGATTACTGAGAGAGAA